CATGACCACGGATTAAATCCATGGCAGTTGCTAATCTACACCATGGCCAGACAATTGAAGAGACTGTGATGTAATGAAAAGCACATTGGATGATGAATTCTTGTTTCAGAAGGGTGAGTTTGAGCAGTCAATAAGTTTTCTTCATGATTTAAAGTGATTTTATTTGTTTCAAACTCCTTCATGAACAGATAAAACTTTTGATGAAAGTGACTTCGATGATGAAGCATACTACGCAGCTTTGGGAACTAGGCCACCAATTAATATGGAAGAACTGGATGAAACATACCAAAAAGTAATTGAGCTCTTCTCTGTATGCACTAATGAAGATCCTAAAGATCGTCCGTCTGCTGCGCACATTGTTGAAGCATTGGAAGTAGATGTCCAGTGAGCTCATACTCATAACTTTCTGAGCTTCAAGTATGGCTCATGTATATAACTGTTCTGTTTACTGTAATACACTTATGTAGTTACTATAACCCATAATTATTAGACTCTTTGAAAGAGGCCTATTTTAGAACTATAGCACCTTGTTAACATTTGAAATACTATTTCTGTTATAAAGATATTTCATGTGATGAGCAGTTGATATAGTGGGTTTCCTATAAAGTTTAAGAAACTATTTTGAGTTTAAGAAGTATTGAAACTTATTAATAGAGATTTAAAATAGCAATATTTGTCTAACTTTAGTTTGGTAGAGTGACCAATACTTTTATTAAGGATCTTAAATATTCTATTTTAATAAATCTATTTAAATTAGCACTTTGCTGAACAAACTATGTCTACATTAGCTTATCTTTTGAAACATTAAACTTTGCTGTTCTGGGCTGATGTACTTATTAAATATGGTCACTTGGAAGCTGAGAGAATATGGCTCAAAAGAGTAGCTCCTTGGGTATTCCTAAACACTCTTAGTTAAGGATTGTCTTGTGCTCCTGGTTCTCCCCAGATATTTGGTCTTTGCTTTTATTTATTAAATCTATTTTCTGTACTGAGATCCCTTTTTTATTTACTAATCTAAATCTTAAGCATTTCACAGTTCTGGTGTAAAAATAATAAAACTCTAATAGGATGATAAGAATAAAAGACACTTTAGTTACCAGAGGATGTACTATCGGTTTTATACTCCATTGATCTGAGTGTTGTCATTAAAGTTGCTGAGTGAATGTGAGTAGGTTTCTCTCTTGGCCTAATTTTGTTAATCTGTAAAATGAGGGTGATTTGGATCAGTAGTTTCTATCTGTGAACCACAGCCCTCCTGGGAATTTTCAGTTATTGAATTGTGCTTGTCAGTCTAAGTGGTATGCCCAGAATTGACTATAGAATTTTAAAAATTACTGTCAAATAGATGATCGAACTGTTGTGCTCTGAACTTTAGCAATTTTAGAATCCACTGGAGGTTCCTTTTTTTTTTTAGAGAGGGGGAGAGAGGGAGAAAAACATTGATGTGCGAGAGAAACATCGATGGTTGCCTCTTGCATGCTTCCAGCTGGGGACCTGACCTGCAACCCAGGTATGTGCCTTCACCAGAAATCAAACCTCTGACCTTTTGGTTTGCAGGACAATGCCCAAATCCACTGAGCCACATCAGTCAGGGCTAGAGGGTTCCTATTATGTGAGATTGTACTGTCAGTGGTACACAGATCATTAACAAGATTATCTTCTATCAAAATATTAATGTGACAGCTCTGGCTGGTGTGGCTCAATGGATTGAGTGTCGGCCTATGAGCCGAAAGGCCGTTGGTTCAATTTCCTGTCGGCACGTGCCTGGGTTGCGGGCCAGATCCCCAGTTGAGGGTGCACAAGAGGCAACCAGTCAATGTTTGCTGTTTCTCTCCCCCTTTCTCTCTCTGTCTCCTCTCTCTAAAAATAAAATCTTTAAAACCTACAAGATGAAATTTTTTTAAAAATGTGACAAGCAATGATCAAAATAAGAGATTTTTAATAATGAAAATATATATACATGTTATTTGTGGGATGTGGCTAAAGATATGCTAATCAAAATTTGTAGTCTTAATATTAGAAAAGTCTGAAGGCCCTGGGGTTTCCATTGCCAGGTCACAAAGCAAGACTTACCCAATCCTTAAAAGCCATGAAACCTGGCATTTACTTGGCCTCTTTATAGATGAGTCCTTTCCAGAATAAGGAGAGTTCATACTGAATTTTGGCTCTGGCACATAAATTTCCCCCACAATCAGCGTATCTAGAGTTTCCAAAAATTCTTGATTTTCCATTTGTACCTCAGACTCATCTCCACTTTCAAAATACTTTCTTAATCATTTAAACCACTCAGAGCTCTCAGTAAATTCAGTGTCATACTCAGGTCCAGCCTTTCAACATCTCAAGCAAAGTTTGCTTTCCAGTGATCATCAGGCTGAGGGGGTCATACCCATGTGTCTGGTCTTCAATCCAGGTTTAGAAATTTTTCCAGTTTTTGTTAGTATTGTGTTCAGGGAAGCAGATTCCTTAACAGCATCCATCACTTGGGTCTCGGTCTTCAAGAATGCAGCTATCGTGGAATGGGACACATCTGACTAGTGAGCAATAACCATTACTGATTTCCCACCTTCGTAGTCCTTCCTTAATCACTTTAAATTTGTTTCCAAGTCAGTCACTCCGGGTGGCCTCTTGGTAATGTTAGCAGTGGATTTTAGATGCTTAGGGGCCATGATGAACAAAGCATGAGATTAAATCAAGAGAAAAGGACGCATTCAGGGAATGTGTTAAACGTGAGATGAGGCTGCCGCTGGTGTAACAGCACACTGTTTTACAGTGGACTTCTTAAAATAAATAGAGTACACTGAAATAATAGTAAAAAGTGTAGTAAACACAAAAATCAGTAAGCCATTTGTTATCAAGTATTATGTACTGTACATAATTATATGTGCTATTCTTTTATACGACTAGCAACTCAGTAGTTTTGTTTACACCAGGATCACCACAAAAACTTGTTGCGCTGTGACATTATGGTGACTGACATTGCTAGCTTGGCAATAGGAACTTTGCAGCTGTTAAAACCTTATGGGACCACCATCATATAGTCAGTCCGTTGTTGATGGAAATGTCATGTGGCGCATGACTATATACTCATATTTTCAATGCCCTAAAAATCCTGCGCTGCTCCTACTCATCCCTCCCTCAGCCACATATATTTTTACTGTCTCCAGTTTTGCCTGTCCAGAATGTCATATAATTGGAATCATATAGAATGTAGGCTCAGATTGGCTTCTTTCACTAGTCATTTATGGTTCCTCCATGCCTTTTTGTGGCTTCTTTTTAGTGAATAGAGACAGTAATCCACTGTCTCGATATAACTGTTTGTTCATCTACTGAAGAACATCTTAGTTGCTTCCAAGTTTTGATAATTATGAATAAAGCTGCTGTAAATATGTGTGCAGGTTTGTGTGTGGATGGATATGTTTTCAATGATTTTTTTTTTTTTTTACAAAGAACATATAGTATTTTTATAATCACAAAAATAAAAAGATTAGTACATTCAATTGTATGAGAATAGACAGAATATTGAAAAGAATTTTAATTGATCCATCACAAAAGCATTGAACAAGCAAATAATGTTAATAAAATTTTTAAAATACAATATTTAAAACAAACAGCAGTGCAGAAAATAACATTAAAATGTTTGCATAATTACATACATTTTAACACTTTCACATTCTTTTTGGAACTTAGGCTTTTAATGTTTGGTACCATGTTAACTTACAGGCAAATAAAAGAACATAAATGAACATACTCTAAAGTTATAACCTGGAAAACTACTTCCCTAGAAAATTATTGCCAGATAGCAGTTAAATGTTTCTTAGAATCAACAATCTGAAAAATTCTTTGCTTTTCAAAATATCCAAGAATTATAATAGAAAACTTAGTTTTAAAAAGATTAGAACATTTAGCTGTAGTTATTTAAGATCATGTTTTCTGGCCCATCAGCCTAGATGTACAGGGTCCAACACAAGTAATGCCCCCTTTTTATTACAAAATCATAAGCATGTAATTCTGTAACATAACAATATCACACTCAAGCACACCATAGGACATTTTAGGTGAAATATTCAAATTAAAACTACAAATCATTATACCCACATTATTACCCTACCAACCACACTCAAGCAGGCATTACTTCTGCTGGACCCTGTATTTACTCAGTAAGCTTGGTTTTGATACTATGCATTTTGTTAGATGTCTCAGGACAACTATGATGTATATTAGACATGCAAAACAATTTTAAGTGTAACCAACTGTAGGAATCATCTAATCCCCACTGGGGCATCCATTTTGTTGATGAATTTCAATTACCAGTAATAAGTTCAGTAAAGATAAGTAGCACAGTTAGTTATACCAAAAATTAAATGATAATAGTGCAATTACTAAGTTTAGTTTAAATCTGGTGAGAACTGCTTTTGATTAATGATTTTTAAAGATAGTAAAACTTGAATTCTGTGCTACATAAAAGCATATGGAAATCTTTACCATCTTACTCTATTAGAAATTATATATTCATAACATTTCTAAATATATTTAAACTGAGCTCCTACCTATAAGGTGAGAGTTCTGTGTACAGAAATGAGGAATCACCTTTAAAAACTGGGCATGAAAATTATGTCCTTAAATTTGCCTGTTTACTTCTGATTGAGCATGAGATAATCCTGGTTCAAAAGTGCTCTATAAAAGGTAAGTGGTCACATTTCTGTCAAAAACCACCTTGCTTTGTCAGTGTTATTATGTGAGAAGTAATTTTCCAGTTATAGCTACTAAGTTTCATAAGGATTCAGAGTGCTGGTCAGTATACATCATCCAAAGATTTATCCTCTCTTTGAACCTCCAGGTACTTTTCAACAAATAACATCCCTGACTTTTCAATTCATAAGGAACAGCAGTTTGTGTGTGTGCATCTCAGTATTTTTATTTTAACATTTGCTAAATAGTTCTTATTATATAAGCTGTCTGAACTCATTCATATAGTAACTCTTCCATAGTTGAAATTAGCTTTAACTATTAAAATTGTATACAAGGAAATTAGGGGTGTTGCAGTACTTGGTTGCAAATAACTTGCCATCTGGTGTTGGGTCAGAAAATGCTATTTCATCAGTGCTGAGAAAACAGCCAAACATAAAGCGATTCCTAAAAAAAGAGGAAAAGACATTTTAACAATGGAACCAGATTAAATTTTGATTGAACTTTAGCACAACTTATTTTAAAGCAATCCAAAAATAAAAATTAAATCTCTTTAAATACTCGATTAAAATTAACATTTTGGCCCTGGCCAGTGTGGCTTGGTTGGTTGGGGTGTCGTTATGTAAACTGAAAGGTCACCAGTTCAATTCTGGTCAGGGCACATAGCTGGGTTGCGGGTTCAGTCCCCTGTCCGGGCAACGTACAAGAGGCAGCCTACTGATGTTTTTCCCCCTCTCCCTCCCTTTCCTTCTCTCTTAAAAAAATTTACATTTTACTAAGTGGCCAAATCACTTAATGCTTGATTATTTTTTTAATCCTCACCTGAAGATACATTTATTGATTTTTTTTAGAGAGGATGGCAGAGACAGAAACATCCATTTGCTGCTTCCTTTATGTACCTTGACTAGGGATTGATTCCTGCAATCTAGCTATGTGCCCTGACTGGGGAACGAACCGGCAAACTTCTGGAGTACAGGATGACACTCCTACCAACTAAGCCACTCAGCCAGAGCATAACTTAATACTTCAGATTTTAGAGATGGAAGTCTAATATCTCACAGAAGAGAAAACAAGTCCAGAAAAAATTCTGCTAAGACAAAGGGAATCCTAAAAACCCTGCAGCTGACCAGGTGATCCACAGTAACAAGCAACTAATAAGTAATATTGCTAATTAAAAGCCATAGGTAATGAAAACCAAAGAAACCCATCACTGATTTTAACCAATAACTATTATTTTCACCTATACCACATTCTCAGAGCTTTAAGGCAAAAACTAATCTGCATTTTGATTACAACTCTCCTTGATCCACAGCTCAATGAGAATTAAAAGTAACAAAATGGTTGAAAGAATTCAACAAAATTGAGGGATAGTCTATAAAGTAACTGGCCTGTACTCTTCAATGTCATAAAAGACAAAGGCTAAAAAACTGGTCCAGGTTAAGGAGAACAAGGACTAAAAAGGATATGACAACTAAGTGCATTATGCGATCCTAACCAGGGAAAAGGCTATAAAGGACATTTAAGACAAACGATAAAACTGAAATATGAACTCTACATTAGACAAAAGCATTATATCAGTATTTAACATCCTGAATTTGATCATTGAACTGTGCTTATATAAGAGAATATCCTTATTCTTAAGAAATATACTCTGAAGTACAAAGAAAGGAAATGTTAAAACTAGATTAAGATATATATGGGGGTTCTTTTTTTACTTTTTTTTTTTTTTGAAACCACTAAAATAAAAACTACAGATTGGATTCAATGAAAAGTTAAGCTTCTGGTATCCTTATTGTATAAATGAATAGTGTTCATTGCTGAATGTCCAAGGCAAAATATAGGCTTGATTAAATAGTTCTTATTACCTTTATTAGTGATACCAGCTATAGAAAAAACATTACATCTGTGGGTTTGAGTCCTAACTGTCCTTTCACTAGCTAGATCAGTGTAAGTTTGTACTTAATAATCCCACTTGACAAAGGGAATCTCAAAAACCCTGTAGCTGAGCCTAGTTATGTAAAATAACTAGGGATAATATAGACAAGAGACAATTCAGCCTAATGCTCCTCATAAATAGGATAGCCATCAATTATGTTACCTGTATCTTAACTCAGGCATGTCACAAAAGACATGTTCTCAAATGTTTTATGTTTCTCCTTTGAAGGCAACTTAATTTTTATTCATTATTGCTTAGAGATAACCTACTGCCTTAGTACTCAAAGTATGATCTACAGACCAGCAACATCCACCATCACCTGAGATCTTGCTAGGAATGCAGAATCTCAGACCCTACCCTGACCTACAGAACCACACCTGCATTTTAACAAGACCCCCAGGTAATTCACATGCACTTTCAAGTTTGAGATGCACTAGACTACTTCCCAGTTAGATACTGGTATTCTACATGTCAAATTTATGTATCTCTTAATATAAAATATAGGAAATAAAAGTGTTTCATAATTATCCAATAAAAATCTCTATATAGACACCAATTTTTCTCACTGCTCCACTTTATAAAGTATGTGGGCGAGTAGTAGTATGACGAAAGATTGGATCCCCACAGTGGTCTTTGGTGTTCTTAAAAAGTGTATAGAACTCAAAAGGTTAGAATAGTGCTACTCATTTTGTTCTTGTTTTGGTCAAGGTGTGGCCCCCTACTGGTTTGTAATCTGTTAGCAAGTACAGAAGTTGAGAGAATGTGTTGTGAAACTCACCCATCCAATCTAGATTAGGTAAATTAACATGAGCAAGAAATAAGCTCCTCTGTCACATTAGAAACTTTAAGTATCAATAGTGTTAGTGCATAGGAGTTTAAAACACAGACTCGCTAATTTATTTTTGAGATACCATAATTCATGTACCATAAGACTTGATCCTTCAAAGTGTACAATTCAGAGATTTTTAGTGACAGTACAAAACTCTGCAACCATCACCAATATCTAATTCCAGAACAATTCCACTACCCCCCAAAACACCCCTGTACCCATTCATTAGTCATCACCCTCCATTCACCCTTCCCTCAGGCCCTGGAAACCACTAATGTTTCTGTCTATGGACTCGCCTATTCTGGATACTTTCTGTAAGTGGAACCATACAATACGGGGTCTTTTGTAACTGGCTTATTTCAATTAGCATATAATGTTTTCAAGGTTTATCCATGTTGTCGTGTCTATCAGTATGCCTTTCCTTTTTGTGACTGAATAATATCTGATTGCATCACTGTATGGATATACCACATTGTACATACCCATTAATCATGAACTTGGTTTTTTGTTTTTTGGCTATTATGAATAATGCTGTTATGAACATTCACATACCAGTTTTTGTGTGGACTTAGGCTTTCATTTCTTTTGCATATATAGCCAGGAGTACAATTGCTGGGTCATATCGTAACAGTTTATTTCTGAGAAACTGCCAGACTGTTTCAACAGCAGCTGCACCATTTTACATTGTGATAGCAAAGTGAAAGGACTCTAATTTCCTCCACATCCTCACAAACGCTTGCTATTTTCCCTTTTTTTGATTAGTCATCCTAGTGGGTATGAAGTGGTATCTCATTGTGGTTTTAATTTGTGATTTGGCTTGGATAACTCTATGTTGAGTATATTTTCATGTGTTTATCAGCCATTTGTATTTCTTCTTTGGAGAAATACCTACTGAAGTCCCGCCCATCTTTAAATTGAAATATGTCTTATTTAAATTTAAATGCCTTTTTATTATTGTATTAAAAGAGTTTTTATTCTAGATATAATAGATCTTTACTAGATAAATGATTTGCAAATGTTTCCTCCCTCTCTGTGGACTGTCTTACTAATCCACTTTTATATTAGTTATGCTTAAAGAGTTATAATAAGTCTTTATTGATTACCTACTCACACACTATCAACGGACATGTACAATCTCTGATTCTTTTTTTAGCTTGCATTTTCTTTGTTTTTATATAGTCATATTAAATATTTATTGAAATGTTAACTTTACATCTGTTGAATGAAATTAGGGCTTGTATTTTCCATTTTTTGGTTTTTTCTATTTTATTTTCTAGCAATTCATCTTTTATTTTCTCTTATTAAAGTGTTGGTCTGTAACAAATTAAACTATTCTTTTACCACAGGTAGTTTGGAAAGCACTGGGTTAGCATATTTCAGACCTGGAATGTTGTGTTCTAAAATTGAGTATATTTAGTTTAGGTTTTGGGGGTCAGGGTAGGGGGGGTGTTCAGTGCCAATACTTGTCTTACTTAGCCTGACTCTTGATAGAATTTATACAGAAGTGTCTTATCAACATCATTCCCTTTCGGTCATGAGCTGGGAATGGTTCTGGGAAAATCAATCTGGGTCCATTTTATTTTATCTCTTACCTGAGAGTATCTACCAGTCGTCTTGCAATGCGCTTTCTTCTCTTCAATCTGAAGACCCAGATTCTACTTATCCCACAGACTGCAGGTACTGGCACGTTTGAACATTGCCAAGCCCTGTGACATTCTTTAGAGTGTGGGTATTCTGGACCAGTTGGTTCAGACAGAACACGGAAGGCCTTCAATGATAGAAAGAAGCACTGAGAGTTAACGATACAGATAAGTTCACATTTCTTTTTAAAAACCATTCCTTAAACAAAACTTAAGAGTCTAAAATAAATCTTATTATACCTTCACCAAAAATGTTAAAAATTCTTTCATATTTATTGAATTCTTGTTCTTTCATAGTCACACAATGCTTGAAAAAATTTTAGTGGCGTTGAGATATTCCCAACATGCCAGTGTACTGCATACCATTATGAAACTTCCCTTTTATTTAAAAAAAAAGCTGTTAAAAAAAAATCAGACTGATTTTTAGTACATAAAATACATAAACATCTCCTATCCTCTCCAGCCTAAAATGTATATTTTTTTAAAAACTGAAAACCCTGAAGATTTTTACATGTTAACTACAAAATTTGGTAGGCATCTGTTTAAGAAAATTTTTTATTTTGAAATAATTACTGATTCACAAGAAATGGAAAACTAGTATAAAGAGGACCCACGTACACTTTACCCAGTTTCCCCCAAGAGTTACATCCTCCATAACTGGTATAACACCAAAACCAAGAAATTAACACGGGTATAATGTATGTGTATAGTTTTGTGACAGTTCATTATACCTGTACTTGTTATTCATCTAACCACCACCATACTTGAAGTACAGAGGTATTCTATCATCACAAAAATCTTCCTCTTGCTACTACCTCTTTATAACCACACCTACCTTTCCCCCTCCACCAAAGAGTATAAGATAAATTTATGCTGCTTCATCTCATAACACAGATATTTTAAAAGGAGATGTAATTGTGGAGTATGATACAGATAAAGAGAACACATTTGAACTATAAATCTGTAGCTAAAGATTACTCTGTAAGCTCCTTGAAGGCAAAAACTACATCTCTATTCTAGAATGAGGCTTGGCAACTTTTTCTGTAAGGGGCCAAATTATAAACATTTTAGGCTCTTTGAGCCACGGACTCTGTTGCACCCAGTCTAACTTGCCATTGTAGCACAAAAGCAACCACATATAATATAGAAGTGAGTGACAATGACTATGTACCAATAAACCTTCATTTACAAAAACAGGTGGCAGCCACATTTGGCCCACAGGCTGTAGTTTGCTAACTCCTTTTCTAGAACATTGCTAATTAGTACCTAAAGTAGATTCTAATTAAGGGACAAGCAATGACTATTTTGGCAAATACACAGGGGTCAGAAAAAGTAGGTTAAATTACCAGCCAGTATTACCTAAAAGACATAAGAAAGGACATAAAATAATTACAATAATATAAAGAAAAAGAAGACAAATATTACAAACAAATAATACAGGCATAAACTGTTTTGTGTACAACTGTAAACCTACCTTTGCCCATCCCTGTATTAACCTGCACTAAGCTACATATTCAATAACTGGGATCCACAGATTTACTTAAATCACTGGACTTTATAGGCCAGGTATAGAAATGACTACATGAACATAAGACTAACTTACCTGTTTATATAGGGCAAAATACCAAATATTAACAAATAAATAACTTCAGGTATTCATATGGTCAAGGATGTTTCAGTAGGCAAAAAAGTAATTTATGGTAGTAGTCTTAAATGCTTATTGAGACTTCTTCCAGTAATTTATTTTGCTTACAAATTATGCCAATAATTTAAAAGACTTACAACATACCTGTGTAATAGGCTCTGCAATTAAACACCCAACTACTCTCTTTTCATCAGATATAAAGAGAAAAGTTTTGGTTTTGTTTGGACATCTGGGAACAACGTGCTGGAAGCCCAATTCATTATCGACAAGTTCTTGGACATCTTCTACCTAGTCATTTTAAAAAGCAAAAGAGGAATTTGTTTTAAAAAGTGCAGGAAACTATAATTATATACACAGAACTTATGGTGACTATCATTTAAGCCGCTTTTATCTCTATTTCCTAAATTTACATACTTCCCCCCTTCCCCAAATTATTTCACTATCGATGCATGTATCTGCCACTTAGGAAACAGGGTTTTAAGAACCTATTTTAAAGATCATTTTCAGCAGAAAGAAATTCAGACTCCTGGGAGGGAGAAGGAGTATCAGTGCCAAAACAGACTTTGTTTCAGCTTTATTCCCTGTTCACTGGGGCTAAACACCCAGCCAAATAAATACAGGCAAGACTAACACAAGAAATAGACTCTGGAGCCATTCATCTCTCAACATTGAAAAGTGTATTTACCTTTCTCAAGTGGAAGATAAATGTAAAGGATAAGTTCTTTCTATTTTTTTAAAAAAGATTTTATTATTTTTAGAGAGAGGGAAAGGGAGGGGAGAGAAAGAGGGAAAGAAACATCAATTGGTTACCTTTCACAGGCACCCCGACCAGCCGGGGACTGAACCCACAACCCAGGCATGTGCCCTGCCCCAGAATTGAATTGGCAACCTTTCTCTCTGTGGGACAAGGCCCAAACAATTGAGCCGTACCAGTCAGGGCACAAGCTGTTGTCTTTAAACTCCAACTGCCATTCCTTTATTTGTCTTATAATTCTAAGTTTAGTTTTGTATGAACTACTATGAAAATCATCCCTACATGTGTACCAAAGTGGATTATATCATCAAAAGTGTTTTATACTTCAACATAGGTGATTTCTTGGTAGGGAAGAGGAAGTAGGAGGAGAACAAGGATTAAAAAACTAATATTCCCTACCTTTTTGATAGCATAACTTGGATCATGTGGCAGGACCAACACAATTTTCCCATCCCAAAACTCTGCTACTACACGTTCTTTTTTCCAGCCCTACCAAAGGGGGAAAAAAAAGTCACAGTTTAATCTGAAGAGGAAAACAACTCCAAAACATTAAATAAATAATTAGTCTGGAGAAGATAAAAAGAATACTGAAAGACATAAAAAGAGAGCAAAATCCAATTAAAAAGTAGGGGAAGGAAAATAAAAGATCCCTAAAGCAAAGTGCCTCTCCTCAAGGGGCTGACAGTCTCCTGGGAGACGGGTACATACATCATCTATTATAAAACAAGGCAAAGTCAAATAAGTGCTCTTCATAGGTATATGTAGGATCCATCATACCTACCAACTTGGAGAAAAATTTTTAGGAGTGGGAAAGTGGGGGATGGGTAGAATAATACTCCAGGCTAAAAATATTATGATATCAACCATGGCAATAAAAACGGGGAAAAAAGGATGCATCTGAGTGGCAGGTACAATCATAAAGATAAGGCCAGAGATAGGATATATTTGGACCAGAAATTTGCTTGATAAAGAGACTTCTCTCAGAAAACAAAAAACGTGGAGAAGTCATAGAAAAGCTCTTTTCTAAGGCTACCTATAAAGAAGAAATGAAAGTGAGGAGGAAGCGGGGCATCCTCAAGTCTTTGAATTTTGTATCTTGACTGTTGAGTTCTGCTCAGGAAGCTAAAGTTAAGAATGCAGGGTATTCACTTAACCTAGAACAATACTTCTATTATATTAGGATAGAGGGTTTAAAATGGCGTTTTTTAACTTTTAAATACTGTTAGCCTCAAATATTAAGGATAAAACTACAGATGATGAAATATTTATGGATTTATAGGTCTTTCAATATTTAAGCAAAGGACATGTATCTTTTAAAGCAGTTTTACCTTTAGAACAAACTGAAAAACTACTTTTTGACTTACTGTGTATTTGATTCCCTCCAGAAACCTGTGGTGATACTGCACATGCTGCAGTTCATCTTCAGGGTTGGAAGCAGTGTAGATCATGCCACAAGACTTGCACATGGTGGCTCCAAAACGTCTCTGACCTGCGTCCTGTTAAGGGGCGGAAGGAGCCATCTAAACATATCACAAATAGCTCTACATTTAGTCCATATAACCATTCGTTCAAATTTCTCCTTATTTTTCTTCTATGTTGGCACAAGGGAAATACTAAATGAAAGTCTGGTTACTATATCCTCCTTCCCCGCCCCCCAAACAAAATGAAGAAGAAAAAACCTAAAAATGCAATAAATTAATAAAAGAAACATAACTACCTCTTGGAATGGACAGGTTAAAAAAAAACAACAAGATTCTTTAGCTAAATAGGCCCATAGTTCTAAGAAGGAATAAGATTAAATCATAAAACTTATAGCTAAGATGAATAATGTATTATAATTTCTTTATTAAACTCTTAAATAGAAACCTAAAAAAGCCTTGTTTCAAAGATAAAAGGCAAAAATTTTAGCATTTTTATATTCATTATATAGTATTTTTCCCTTGAGTATTTAGAAATATTAAAATTCCTTGCCTCAAGAGCTGATCAAAATAAATATGATACATAACAAAAGTTAAGGGAAAGCACAGATAAGTTAATAGGGAAATCAGGAATGTTTAATGTCATGGCTTAGTGACTACCCCCCATTCTATCTCATAAGACCTTGCTGAATGTTACAGAAAATACCAGGTTCTGAACAGGTTAAAGGCCAGAGAGTAAATATTTTATGCTTTGCAGACCACAGATGACTTGTCACATATTCTTCTCCTTTTTCCCCAACCTTTAAAAATTGTAAAAGCCATTTTAAGCTCAGCTCACAGACCGTGGTCTATACCTGGCCCATGGCCATAATGTGCCAAACCCAAGCCTAATAAAATGTAGCTATTCTCATTAAATCTTTTGCTGATCAACAATAAACTTATCTGAAGACAACTTATTCATCAGCATTCTGCTAAATTACTAGCATCACCCAACAGTATCAATTTGAAAATTCACTTGACTAGCTTTAAAGGCTATCATTACAACAAAGCTGGCATTTACAAAATTCAAAATATGTATAACCCACGTTAACTATGCTAAGACAACATGTCTGACTTCACATTCTGTATGTGAGAGCCATGTACAGGAGGCGCTTTGTTTTGAATCTACTCACAATAACGAGCTGGTCTTTTGTTTCTTTATTTGTATCTCTGGCATTAGTACTTTTCTGTGCATTGATCTGTTTCAAGAAGTTAGTAGGTATGACGGATCCCACAGAAGACTGTTCTTCAACTAGAGATCTTGAAATAGAAAGTTGATAAATGTTACTTAATGATTTAAAATGTTTTAGAAATTACAATGAAAAGAAAACTGATATGTATATAACATTTGCAGAGCACCTGACAATTTTTTGTGCTTTCTATAGATAATACTTGATAAAGTAAAAGAACTAGGAAAACGAGAAGCCTCAAGCCCACTCAGGATCAGTGATTTACTCAAGGTAAAATAACTAGTAAGGAATGCTGCTAACGACATAAATCCTCGTCTTGCAACTCCAAATCCAAGGGACTTTCATCTGTGGTATCAAATGCACATACGCAGGATCTCTTCGTACTTTGACTTCACTCATAAAAAATAATCTTTTGTTTGCTTTACACATGTTAGAACAATATTTACCCATGTAGGTATGCAGAAATTCCTAGAATACTACAACAAATAAGTAGACTCTAATATTAAAGCTTACAGATCCATAGGAAGTCAGCCATCAGCATATGCAATCCAAGAACTTTTTACGTGGGCAGTGGTTGAGGTTAATACATGCACTTGTCCTGATACCTAAAGCAGCACCCTATTATTCTCAAATTCTTAGGAAAAGATGTTTTTGGCTGTATAGATGTTGTCAAGGCAACTTTTTCCCATTAGGAAAGAATGTTTTGATTATCTTATAGAGGTTGCAGATTGAAGCCCCTCAGGCCATATTCAGCTAGCAAATAAATTGTGAATGACTCACAGTGTTTAAAACTTTGGATTAGCTACTAATATTTTAAAAATCTAGATATTTCACTTAAAAATGTGTATTTCCAATATTGCAAGAGACACCATAAGATCACTAGACCTCTATTTCTTCAAAGAACCTACTAGACGAAGCTAAACAGCACGTGCTCCTTTGGAAGGGGCATGCATTCTCCAGCTGGCTCCAGCCTCCACCCAGCTTTGCTGGCTCTGCAGACAGAGTTTGTGACCCTTGCCTTACAATAAAGAGAACCTTGGTTTTTCAAAAGAGCAAAGGAATAGATCTCTCTGGAGAGTAAAGGCATGAGAAAAATAGGCATGAAAATAAAAGAAGTGCCTAAAGCAAGGAATTCAAACAGGAAAAAACCTGACAATAAGAAAACTCTGGGGGGAAAAAACTGTCTAATGCTTTAAGCTAAGCCAAGCTGTCTCGTTGTCTTGTGATCATTTGATTGCAATGGCTTTCAAACTGACCTCACTAACCTATGGCAAGAAATATACTTTACATCATGACCAATGGAGATACACACATATAACTTAAAAAAAAATGAGAGAGATGCATTATTCCATTTAAAAAATGCTGGCTTATAATGCCCTTAAACTGCTCTGACAAGCTGCTAGTGGTAACTATTCAATACCTGTGATGCAGAAAGCACTCGTCTAGGTGGCTGACACTGGCCTCTTTAGGCAACCTTTGCTGGGTGACTCAGCTTTTCTCATCCCGGCATGCGTGACCACACTCTACTTCTATCTTAACAGTTTTAACACTTACTATATGTATTTGTTTAAATGCCTATCTTCCTTTAACCACAACTTCCTTGATAGAAGGACCATGTGTTATTTATCTTCACATAACTGAACACTCAGTATAGTTCAATACCACATAATTCTCTATAAATGTTTGCCAAATGAAGGAATAAACAAAAAATGAATGTGAGACTGTGAACCTAGAGAATTTGTTGTCTACCTAAAGTAAAACAGATTAAACCACAAGAAATTGTAGGACCTTTTGGGTCCTATATAAATATCAGTTTCAAATGACTCAACCAATAGTATCCTAATACCTCCTTATGCTAGGTTAAATTAGTTTACACACCTTTATAACCTAATCGTGATCTATTTCAACCCTTAATAAACAGAAGACATAGATGAGAAAAGGGAAAGGTAAAAAAATAGAACTATGGCCTTTGAAGGGGGAAGTTGCCCACCCAACCCAATCTCTGAGGTGATTTAAGGTGAGGAGCACCTCAGAGGAGAACTTACCTAGGAAGTTCCTTGCTCAATATCTGTAGTCATTTATCATTAAATGGGAAAGGAAGTACCAAAGCTGCTTAGGAAGATGTTCAGACTATAAGAAACTTCCTTTTCAGAGCTTTTCACCTGTCAAGGTCACATCCACCCATGCCTCCCTACATTCCACTCTTAGCTTTGGCCAGGACAGCGGTAGCTTCAGTGGGGATTTATAATAGCATCAAGCTGCTGCAAGTCACTTATTCCTCTAGCAAGAGTTTTCTCATCTATAAAGTGGGGGTAATATACCTATGTCTAAGGTTGTAAATGCTCATTAAACATTAACTATTACTAATATCACCTAGGGAAGGCAATATTGTCTAATGGGCTTTGATTCGGATACGGATTCTAGTCCTGGCCCTCCCACCTAATAGCTGTGCAACAGTGGCTGAATTACTATGTTTCCTCAGCTAAAAACGGAATTTATAATAATATCTTCCTTTTAGGTTGTTGCAAGGATTAAGTAGGATAATGGATATAAACTACTTATTATGAGCCAGGTTCTATATAAAAATGTTAGCAGTTATTATTACTTAAGCCCATAAAGATCTTTCTCTTCTCTCAACTCTTAGGTTCTTAGGAAGTTTCTATGAAAGGGTGTGATTTCATCATCTATTCTTAATATCCCCTTTCTGGAGAAAGAAAATGTGTTCTCCAAATTAAGTAGTTCAAGAAAGAAAAAGAGACCCATAGGACTCATAATTAAATAATCAATTAACATTAACATAAGAGCAATTCCTACCTTTTTGTATTAACTGAAGATGCACTGAAGATGGGATAGACAGTGAACTCAGGAGAAACTGGTGGGGGAAAAAGTGACAATAAAAATTTGTATTACAAAATAAACTCAAAGTTTTATAGCTTAAGATTTTACAGGCTAATAAGACCAAAATACTCAAATGGTTTGACATCAAGGATTAACAGTAATCAAGACCATATGGTACTGGCAAAAAGATAGACAGATCAATGGAACAAAATAGAGAGCCTAGAAATAGACCCTTCAAATATAGTCAACTGATTTTTGACAAAAAGGCAAAAGTAATACAATGGACAGAAGACAGTCAACAAATGGAGCTGGAACAATTAGATATCCAAATGCAAAAATTGAAAACACTCACATACATACATTAGCTCAAAATGGATCACACATCTAAATGTAAAATGTGAAGCCAAACCTGGGTTCAGTATCAAGAAACAAACAAACAAACATGGAAACAAGGAAAGGACTGAGAAAAATGTCACAGAGTCTTCTCTGTGACTAAGGAGACATGAAAAGTAAATACAATGTGGTATCTTAGGCTAGATCCTAGAACAGAAAGAGGACATTAATGGAAAAACTGGTGAACTCAAAGTCTAGAGCTTAGTTAATAGTAATGTACTAATATGAGTTTCTTAGTTTTGACAAAGGTACTATAGTAATATAAGATGGTAACATTAGGGGAAATAGGGTTAGGGATATATACAGGAATTATCTGTCCTATCTTTACAACTTTTCTATATCTAAAATTATTGTAAAATAAAGCTTATTTTAAAAAAGACCAAAATTAAAATAGTAGTTGATTAGAGAAAAATAACACGTTGAAAGTGGGAAAACCTTTAATTTTGCATTGAAAAAAGAATTAGAGCTCATTGTTTATTAACAAGGCCAAGACAGGTGTAAGTCTGATGTGCTATGGCTAAGTTACTAAACCTAAGTCTGTTTCCTCATCTATAAAATGTGCACATAAATCTATTCCCTAGGGTTGCTGTGAGAATTTAATAATAAACTATAGTTATTATGTAATAAACTTTCATCATTTGTATACTACCTTCATGAATTTTGCCATATCCTTATACCATCTGCATTATTTGTATTCACTAAATATTTTTCTTTAAGTAGACTAAGACAATGTACTGAAATACAATGATTCAAAAAGTTTTTATAACTACTATAAATAGAAAGCCATTATTTTTCTGTTACATGTTCCATTATATCAGTGATAGCACAAGCCGTGGGAAACATGATGCACACTAAATACTTAGCACTGCCTGATACGAGTTCAGTACCCAGTAAATACAATACTAGCTGTTACCACTATGAACAATCATGATATGTATAAATATTTATAAAATTATGTGTGTATGCATATATATGTGTATACCTAGTTTTATATGTATATATATATATGTAAAACTAGGTCCTCTTAAGAGCTGATCTTCCAGATTATGTTTTCAGTTTTTATCTTTTTTTGTTTTCTTCCTGTGAGCTACAGTTTCTCACTATATAGCGTCAGTATTTCTACTTCTAGAATTTAAATTGATTTCCAAATTTTTAAATATAACCAATGAGGTAAAGTTACCAAGAAGCTGGTTGATAAGTAAAATGTTAATTAACCTCTTTATAAATTCATAGCCTGGTAAATACTGTTTAACTAAACAATGACACCACAAATTAGTAATAGGATTTCAAAATGAAGAGGAATTTAAAAATTAAAAGTAGTCCTTACTTTAGCTATCTCTTCTGTAGACCACACAGTTAATTAGCGGCAGACATAGACAAAAATTCCAAGTTTTCTGATGCCCAATTCATTGTCCTTTCCATGGCTTAGTAAATTCTGCTTATACTTGGGCTTTGATCAAACATACAACATAAACTGTTTTTAGTCCTTCATATTATTTAGAGACAAAGGTAGGTATGGTAAATATGAGAATACCCAGCTCTAGAGAGCTTAAACAACTTGGCCACATCCCATAGACCAATTAAACATCAGTATTTTGCCTTAAATTTCAGCCTAAGTTCTCCTTGTCTCCTCCTTTTAAAAATGCACCTTATTGCTTACCCCTCAAAAAATTATCACCAAAATAAACACAAAACAGAGTTAGAAGTGCAGGCCCATACACTAAATATAAAAAATATGTATTATTGTGTATGGTTTCATGTTGATACATGTAATGCAGCACTGTCATTATAAACTCATTCTGAGACGTTTTCTCTTACCTGCCTTGTTCTCACTGTGAGAATCTTCCAAAGGAAAACACTTATTTTCATCAGGTTTATGTTCCCTTGAAGAAATTATTCCACTTGAGGAATCCTGAAGATAATGAATAGGTAAATTTAAAGAAAACCGGAAATTCTTAATCGTTTTCCATTTAGTGAATGAATTCCAATAAATGTTTCTAAAACAAAGTAACTAGTTTATTATTATTTTATAACAGTTTTAAATTCTCAATTTTCAGCTTATTTTAAGGACAGTTTCCTTTATGTTTACTAAATATACATAACCTTTTAAAAGACAGAGTATGCATATTTAAGTCGGCAATTTGTCATCGTATCAAAAATGTGTTATAATTCACGATAAAGATGGCAGAATGGAGAAATTCTTTCTATAATAAATTGAACAAAAAAAATTAGTGAAAATGGCAAAAATTCCCCTAGTAGATGCTATACTAGAAAGGGACAACCTTTTGTCGTAAGATTTAAAAATAGGCGGCCAAGGAAAGAAAAAGAACATTCTGAAGTTTTGGAGTGGCTTCTAACTCTCACTTTCTGGGCAGTAGCTGAGAAGTGGGAAGATAAAAGTAGAAAAAAATCCTGACAAATTTCACTAACATTACTAATTTGGTAAGACTTAAGTGAGAAAGTTCTTTTGATTAAAGTATAACTGTCCCAGACAATAATATCTCAGTAGAGATGGGACAACCCATCAGTTTGCCATTTCTTAGGGCTCCAAAATGAGCTGAGGGAAGGTTATTGTACCCAATAACGAAAACAGGATTCACCCCTCGCTATCAGAGATGAATACTAGTGGTGGGTATTTAACAAAATCTTAAGAGAGGAGAACCTCATTCCACAAATTTAAGATGCACAAAAGCACAGTTTCTCAAGCTAATGACACTAGGCAGAATCCAATACCCAGCCCCTTAAAATGAAGCTCAGAAAGTAAGGCAGAAAAGAGCATTGCAGAGAATTCATCATGTCACTGTATTGAATAGACATGGAGAATAAATACTAATCAGGAGAGGCCTGGCTGGCAATGCAGACCTCACTCTACTTTGTTTTGCTGGATTGAGAATTAATTTTAGCTTGAATTGTCCCCCCAAATTTTTAAAAATTGAGGGACATTTATATACAGTAAAGTGAAAAGATATAAAAAAATGGTTTGATGAATTTTGATAAACTTATTATATACCCATGTAACATAAACCCAAAACCCCCATCAAGATATAGGGTTTTTGTGTTATTTGTTTTTTTTTGGCAGAAACAATATGAAGAATTAGGAGAATTAGACTGACATTGCTTAGCTGGGGAGAACATCTTCCATTTAACAATAATACATAATTGGCATTTAACAATATTACATAATTGGCAATACTTGATAAACAGGAAGAAACATTTACAGTGGAAACTGCAAACTTAAAATGCCTACACGGACAGCAGGTGACTTAAATTAATAATGAAACTAAAATTAATAGTAAAATTAATAGCAAAACTGATCTAAATCAGTATACATGTGCTGATTTAGTGAGGAAAATGAAGAACCCATACCTGTCAAAATGGTAGGTAGCCTGATACTCTGTTCTGAGAGATCATTGCTATGCAGGAATGAGGGCTTAGCTTTGCCAGACCTCAATTTTTCATGATACACTAGAAATCTGTTATCTTACATTTTAAAAAAGAATGCTGGCTCAAAAAATTTTTTAATATTATATAGGCCAAGCAAAACATGGCTGGATTTGGTTCACTGGCCACCAATTTATAATCTTTGACATCGAAATTTGAAATTTAGGTGACTTCAAGAGGTAAGATCTGGGACTGAATTTGACAGGAGGCAATGAAGAGAACAATGAGAGAAGGTAAGTGAAGAGATAAATGACTATAAAGAGTTGGAACTGCTCAATATATAAGCCTCAGTGTGAAAGCCTACCATTTCTCCAACTGCAAAGATTGTGATGAATAGAAGTCGTCCCAGACATGGAAGACCCAAACTGGAAGGCAGCCTTTCTTAAAGCCTGTTGACTCAATTGCTTTCTGTCCCTAGCTACCTGAAAACAAACAAACCAAAAAAAACCCCAAAAACCAAACAACAACAAAAAACCTTTCTCTGTCTCTGATGAGATTACTGATAGGAACAAAACAATAGAAGGGGTAGACCTGTATTGTCTGTCCTGGTAGCCACTAGCCTCAAGTGGCTAATGAGAATTTGCAGAACAATTGAACAAAATTCAAATGTGCTACACGAGAAAATAAACATGGATTTTAAGAACTTAGTATAAAAAATGGTAAAATATCTCATTAATTTTTTATACTAGTTACACTGACATGGTAACATAAAATATATTGGGCTAAATTTTTTTAAAAAACTTAATATGGCCTCTAGAAAATTTTAAATTACATGCAGTTGGTCTTCTATTTCTATCAGACAGCACTAGTCTGGGCTAGCTGTGTTAAATTTAAGTGCAAGATCAAAAAAGCATAGAATGGCAACAATGAAAACATACTACATAAAATAAACAAAAACCCATCTTACTGTATGTTAACAGTGACAATCTCCAAGCAGTGGGTTTACAGACAATGTATTTTTTATACTTTCTGTCTTCTCTAAATTGTCCAGAATAATCTAGCACTTTAAATAATAAGCTGAAACAAAAAACAATATGCTCATACTCTGGAAACCTACTCATGGATTTTGTTATTTCTACTTTCTAAAAACAATGACTACCAAATAAAAGTTGTTAAGCTTCTCTGGACTTTAGTCATGAGAGAATTTAATAAAATGTATATCTTAATGCCAAGGAAATAATGATAGGCTCCCTTAAAAAATAAAAAAGGGAGAGGAGTCCCATCTTTTCACCCTGCCTCTAAATTCTTTATAGTGATTAAACTATACTATTTGGATTCATAAAAGCAGTCCTCCAGACTGCAAAGAAAATAAAATTTTATTCAATTATGTTCATAGCATGTATATTGAAGTTTTGTTATATAATCAACTTAAGTTTTTTAAATGATGTATTTTCTTTACCTTTATTAATTTCTCTTCATTTTTACTTCTTGTACCCAGCAGCTCAATGTTCAGTTCCTTTGCTATTAACAAGCACTCAGGCGCTTGCCTCGTCTCAAAACATTTTCTTTGACTGACAGTCTCTGCATCAGAATCTTTAATCACTTCCGATTTATTCTCTTGGGTGAGTCCCAGGATTGGCTTATTTTCCAGAGACAATTTTCTAAGAGAGGATTTTTTTCTAACAAAAAATGCTGCTCCACCCTGGAGCGTTACTTGTGGTTTGACTTTTTGGCTTAGAACTCTAGGAGCATGCAGATTATTCTCAGCTGAATAACAGTTGTTCTCTTTCTCTGCACTTGGTTTGTAGGCCACTCGATTTTGCATGGAATTTTTAGAATTCTTTGACATAGGCTTGATGCGCTTATAGCTTGGTTGACACTTAGCAGTTAAGCTCTTCCGTGGTTTTTTGTTCATCTTCTTGGAGCGGACTGGTTTTCCCTGAGTTTTTTCTGTCACGCTGGGAAGAGACTGAGCTTCATTATTAGTTTTTAGACAAATGGATCTACTCTCTTTTATTATCTTTCTCTCCAATGGATTGAGGTAACACTTATTTTTGTTGTAAAAGGATACAGTAGACACAGAAGATTTAAAAGGTGAACCTTGATTTGCAGATGGTAATTTATTTTTTTTAGTTGTTTGGAGCAGACTTGAAATGAAATGGCCTTGTTGAGAGTAATGCACTTTTTCTTCATTTTTATCACTGCTTTGGCAAATGTGTTTTTTATTCGGTGATGAAACTATGTTTTCAGTAAAGTCCAAAATTAATTTCTTTGATGGAATGTCTGATAATAGGCTATGAAAAAAAACAAGGTCCATTGATAAGAATTGTTATTTTGCTTCAATTTTTGTCAATTTACTGCTAAGTAATGAACACCTTTACCTATAGGTCACACTAAACATTATATCTTCTCCACCAAACATCCATCCATGCACATTATCTATTAGTTTAACAGTAGGTTTCTCAAATTGTTTTTACCAAGCAAAGCATTCAAATATTTTTCAAAAGATAATGTTTGTGAATAGAATGTTTACAAAGAAATTTTCTTTGTAATTGTGTATGTGTATGTTTTAAAACCTACTTTAAAGTCATGGCCATATACAAATTATAGCTTATATACTTTGCTTTGGTGGTTAGAAGTCTTCTAAAATGATTAATTCTATGTAACTAGGGCCTGTTCTATAGGGAGTATTTTGTATTTGGTGTGACATACAGTAAGTACTGAGTACACAGACTTTCTAGACTGGCTTACAGACAAGCATCTACTGTATGCAAAACACTATGTTAAGAACCACGTAAGAGCAGAAAGTAGCATGGTAATGAAAGATTGGACATTCGTTTTGAAGCCACAGTAAATAGCTCTTTCTCTGATTCCCTGCAAAAGCAGTAAATAATTCATTTTGAAAGCTTACTGTATTTCCAGACTAGAATTAGTATATAAAATTTAACTATAGCCAGTGGAAGAATGGAAATTTTAAGAAAAAGAGAGAAGGTAAGAAAGATAGGAAGGTGATTTTTCTTTTTTAAGAGTTTCTACCCGTAAGATGAGACTCACTTGTCACAATTCAAAGAATTCTGCTTCCTTTTCCTTGGAGTAAAAGCTGACATCTTCTTAATTGAAGTCCTAAAAGCAACAGGACACTTACAATAACCAAATTCATCCAATGTACATAGAAATCACTATATCAAAATTATACCTTAGAAGTCTAAATTAGTTTTTGTATGTGTGATGGTCCATAAAGATCCAAGAAAAGGGTTTTTAAGCAAATAACTTTAATAAAACTTTAAAAAGATTAAGGTTAAAACAAAGGAAAAACACTACATTACAGGAGCAATTAGAACAGGAAATAAAAGCAGTGATAGTACATATGTTTCAAGCTGGAAAATGATCCTACCAAGAAGGAAGTTTTTTTTACCCCATTTTAAGGCACACTCTCCCCTTTAATTAGCCCGATTAATTCACACTCAGTTTAAACACTCTTCTGTTCTGCAACGACTTCCTTGCCAGTGCCCTCACCCGACCCCTACCACCGTCCGATGCAGTCCTATACCTCCATTCCATCTACGCTTCCTTAATATCCATTTAACACATTTTCTTGTCGGTGTAACTACTTTTCAATAGTCTGTATATGCAATGAAGCTTTTCTAAATTTCATCGGAGTCCAGCAAGAAATACTCTTATTTTACTAGCTGAGGGGCCTTAACCAAGACACTTGTTTCCTTTTACAAAATACCCTGACCTCCTTAGGCTGCTGAAAATAAACAATCATGCACTTAACTCGAGCAGATGGCAGGTTGCTCAGTAAAAGTTTCCCCTTCCCCTTCCTTCGGACAAAATATATTTTTAAAAATGACACAAGCGCGGTTTCAAAGTTAAATGAAAGACCAAGGTCTCTGGGAATTAATGTCAGCGGCGAATTAAGGGAAGACCCTTCTAAGGCTGAAGGAGGAAAAGAATATCCTTCAGGGCAAAAACACAAGAAAACTCCAGCGTCAGGAAGATAGGAACCAGGTGACCTGGAAGTGCGGAGAACCGGTTGGTGGCTTTGGTCCTTGACATTCACCACCACCACATTCTATAGAATTTCCCGTTTTTCTCAGTCTTCCAGCCCACGCCTCGGCCCCCTGCAGCAATTACCTGCACCTCCGCGCCCGGGACCTCTCCTCAGTTAAGCCAGCTGCTCCGCCACTGTATTCAAATTGTCGCGCGCCAGGCAAGGCTGAACCTGCTGCGTTCTGATTCGCCACTTCTCAGCGCTTCCAGAAACTAGCTCAATGATTGGTCGCATCCCAGCTATTGCCCCACCTACTCAAGAGGAGGTCGCCAAGATTCTCCCGCCCTGAGAAAGTGAAACGCTGTCTTCTTCTGGAACCATGCCATCCATAATCCCTTGCGACCGCGCCGGGTTTCAGGCCCCAGACCTTGTTTAGGTGCGTTCTGGGAATTGTAGTTCTCCGTAGAATCAAAGACCCGCCTCCCCACCCCAACATTCTGGGGTCACTTAGTGTAAGATGTTTTTGTAAAGTAGCCTCTCGAGGTTCTCGAAGCAGTTACATTTGAAGCTTTAGCGTTAAACTTTTTTTTTTGTTAGTAGTATGTTAGGTTTCTAGCTTATTTTTTTATTTTTCAAGTTAAATTTAAAAAATTAACTCATGGCACTAGTATCTGCTACATGCATTCTTGCAAGCTTTCCATGTTTTAATTCATTTACTCCACACCACAATCTTTAAGGTATGTATTATCATTCCCATTTTACCTCGGTTAATAAAACCGAGGGCATAGGCCAAAGCTAGGTTCTTGCTTTGGGGAGCTGGAACGTTCCTAAAGTAGTCATTGGTACTTTTTATTTTTATATTTTTAGATACAAGCTATCGCTTTTATCTTTATGTAACCAGCTGATACTTTCCCCTTTAAATAGCCTGATTAATTCATACCAAATTTAAACACTCGTATCTTCTGCGACTGAACATTTTCAGTTCTAATAAATTTAAGTGATGCACTTAACTTCCTAGAATGCAGTCAGAATGAAATAAGAGAAGGAGGTCAAAGCGAAGTACTGTGTGAACTTTACCAGAGCGAGACTATTACCACTTTACAGCAGGAAGATCTCTGAGACCCACAGGCTTGACATTTGCTCAGTCTCACAGGTAACAATTGGCATACAATAAAGGCAGAACAGTCCTAGCCCAAATACCAGAGGCATGTTGCTTCTGGGGAGCATCACTAACAACTCACCAGAGTTGAGTGGTGTGTTCTAACCCTTTCCTCCTATTAATTTATTTAACACTACCAAAATAATCTATGAATTAGCTGCTCTATTCATCTTTATTTTGCAGGTGAGGGAGGTGAAGCACAGAATGTACCCAGATGTGGGCCTTACTAGTGGTGGAGCTAGAATGAGAATAGCGGAGGAATTTGGGTTCATTCAAAGTATAATGAACTACCCAAGTATCAACTGCCACGATTGGCTCAGTGAAAACCCAGCTGTGAAACAGGCCAACAGTTTCTGCTTTCTAGGAGCCCTTGCGGGGATGTTGGGAAGCAGATAATACCAACAAATAAGCCTCAGGACTTAACCGCCCCTGGGTGGATATCCCAGCCAATGGCAATTTTTTTTTTAAAGATGGAGTTTCGTGAGGGGTTGGTGGGGGGAGGTAGAAGAGGGTAGAGGGGGCATAACTGGTGATGGAAGGAGACTTCGTTGGGCTGGTGAACACACAATACAATATACAGATGATGTAATTATAGAATTGTACACCTGGAAACAATATAATTTTATAAACCTGTTACCCCAATAAATTCAATTAAAAAAGAAAAAAGGAAGATGGTGTTCTCCTCTTCCCGCCCATGTTTTCCAAGCACCAGCTGTGCCGGCCCCATCCTCTAGGCTTTGAAACACCCTGTCCTGCCAACACCTCCTCCTCGCCAGGATGAAAGATGGCACCGAGGGGCCGGCGTTGTGACGCGACCCAACACCCGCCGGAAGTGCGCGCCGGCGCTCCAGGAAACTGGTGGCCCCCGCGTCTGGTATCCTGCACTTCGCTAGTTGGGCGCTGCTGCTGCACGCTGGGGTCGCTGCGCCGCCGCCGAGATCATGGTGTTCTACTTCACCAGCAGCAGCGGTGAGTGGGCGCACAACCTCCGGGGTCCCTGCTCCACGGTGCGTTTCCGAAGCCGGGACGCCCCAGGCCGCCGCGGAGCGTGGACCTTGTGCTAAGGTGCCTCCTTCGCGTCGAGCTGCTCGTCACGCTCCCACTTGGTCCCCTGCCCCTTTGGGCCCGGTCGTCTCCGAGGGGCCCCTTGTCAGAGCCCGCGGTGGGGTGGGGGTGAACGGAGGGACTGTTCCCTCTGCTGTTTTTGCATCCGGAAGTGTTCTCTCGCCTAAGTCGGGAAGACTTTCCGACTTTGGGCAGTTTGTGGGCTTCTTCACACCCCATTTCACGTCCCCCTCCCCGTGGCCTTTATTCTGGCTGTACCCTGGTAATTATGCACTTTCATAAACAAAGGAGACACCTGCCAACAACTCTACCAAACGGGAAATACGCTTTACCTTCCAAGAGAAGGGTTGTAGGTTTTGGATGCAACAGCGTAAAAGACCTTAGAATGGTAAGAAAGCCAGTCATTGGGTAGACTTCATGTCCCAAATCTTGAAAAGTGACATATGATGATGTTTCTGATTTTTTGTTGGCAGTCAAAGAGAAAGGGTGCTATTCCCAGGAAATACTGTGTGTAGACCTCGTTTCTCTGCTTATGTTCTCTTAGCCAACCCCCAGTTAGCTGCTACACCCTTAAGACAGAGAGCTCTGGCTCATCTTTTTCAAATGCCTTTCCCGACTTAGCTTCCACCCAGGGATGGCTTAGGTGTACCTTTTCCGGGATCCCCTTAACACTCCGTGTATACCTTTCCTATTGCGCTCAATAGTATTAAACGCAGTCTGCTTGAGCTAGAGTGTAAACCCCTTGAAGGCAGGGACAGGATCTCCTCTTGTTTCCTAGCATAGTGCCTGGCTCTGAATAGTTACTCAATAGATGGCTTGTTGAATAAACAAATGTTACCTTTTTTAACTATAAGACTATTCTATTGCTGTTGTCTCTACTTACTTGTTAAAGGTGAGCTCCATGTTGTTTGTGTGGGTTTGAATAGAGGGTACTTTCTCTTTCGAGGTGAGAACATTGAGGCCCAGAGATGTTTTAACTCCCAGACTCCCACCTGCCATCCGCCCTACTCAATCACTGTTACCCCTCATTTTTTTCTTTGTAGTTTAGACTTCTGCTGTGTGCCATATGCTAATATTTCTCTGCCTTTGTAGGTTTGGTTTGTCTTACTCATATTATTAAAATTACTAGAGACAAAATTCAAACTAGCCTGAAAAATCATTTTAGGCCCCTAATAGTATTCTCAATCCCTCCCCTGTTCTGTTTTGCTCTGTCATAAGATAACTTGAACATCTCTTTGTAGCTTCTCTACTCATGAAAGTCCCCAACAACGTAGGTACCGATATGAGCTCAAAAGGGAATAAAAAGTACTGGGAGGGTATATAAGTACTAAATGTATTTTATGCTCGTTGCTTTAGCTATTCTAAACTCTTTGAGCCCTAGTCATACATATACAGATGCCCTTAATAGAACAGAGTGCTTCAGCAGATTTGTGGATCATATTTTTTTCATTGGCTTCCATTATAATGTCAGAACCGCTTCCTGTTGGAAAAATATTTAGCCTCTAAGTCTAATGAAACTGCCCTTGTGCAGCACATCTCTTAAAATTGCAAAGTTAATGGGAAAAATATATAACTTTTCCAGTAAAGTAGTGGTAAAACAACATATTCCAGTAGAGAAAACATTTTGAAATCCAGAATCTTCAAGGAAATGACTTCGTATAGACAGCCAAGCTTTCAGCCAAGTGGTTATAGCCTAAAACCTTTTTTAAAAGATGAGGAGAAAATCTCAATAGAAAGTTTTTGCCTTTCCTTTTGTTTTAAGATTAGTATCTCTGACTAAAATCTATTCAATTATATTCTTTCATGTTTTCTCATAAGGACATAATGAAACATTAGTTTTATTGTATTTCCAGTGTCAAATTCAAGACCATCAGTTTTATGGATGCACAAAATACCTGTACTTTGCTCATTAAGAGATACCTCTTGATAGCATTTATCTTAGGATAGTTTGTTATATAAAATATGAAATTATCACATAGCCTCTAAAGTTGGGTTGGTTGCCACACTTCAGTCACCTGTCTTCAAGATAACTAGTTCCCCTACTAATCAACCCTGTTATTTGTGTGGGAATAACAAAAGCACTAAAATAATTCAATGTATTTTTTTTCTTTATCTCTTTAACATGGACAAGAGCTTAATTCAGAATACTTGCTCAGCAATCATGCTCTTTTTAGTTTTGACATAATGTCAGTCTTTCAGAAAAGTTACCGGAAAAGTAAAAGATTTCTTTTTTATCCTTCTCTTCCATTCCCCAAATTCTAACATTTTACCATTTCTTACCAAATTCTAACAATTGCATTATTTTAATTTTCCCTTAGTAGTTCACTCTTCTCCCTTTCTCCCCTTCTCTCTCTCTCACCCTCTCCCCATACACACACACAATTTTTTTCCTGAACTGTTTGTTAGTAAGTTGCCCTTTACCCATAAATACTTAAGTATTTTTTTCGTAAAATCAAGGATATTCTCTTATTAAAAGACATTCTTCGTATCAAAATTAGGAAATTAACATTACAACAATACTATTATCTAATCAGCTTTTACTCCCTGAGTCTCTTTAAAAAGACTAAAGTTTACGCTTAATCTCATCTAATCTAGAGCATTTGCGCAGGCTTTGTCTTTCATGGCACTGTTAGTTGAAGAGTTATTTGTAGAATGCCCCTCAGTTTGGGTTTGTAGCAGTTATGTTCCTACTCACCTCATTTTGTAGGTCAGCCGTCCAAACAGTTGTCTGGCATTCTCTTGGCAGTAAGTTGGATAACTGGGCCTACACAGGGACAGCTTTGTTTTGTTTTAATCATTTTAAAAATTACTTTTGTTCTGATTGCAAAAAACCGTCTGTATATTTTGTGAACAAGCTAGTGAAGGTAACTAAAGTTAACAGATGTATATCCTTCCATACATGTAAAGAAAATGGGTGCATATATGTATACTGTTACATATTTATTTTTACAAATTGAATCTTACTGTATATAAACACATAGGAATACTGTGTCCTTTTCTTTTTCATGGGTACATGGCATTTTGTTTATGGGTGTACTATAAAGTGTTTAACCAGTCTTAATTAGTGTTTAGGTTGTAAAAAGAACATCATTCCTTGATGGAACATTTAATTAGTAAGGTATACTTCTAGTGGTGACATTATAGGATCAAAAGGGTATACACATCATTGCCAGGCTATGCACAGAGAATCTGTGCATTTCTGTGTGATTTCTGCACTTTTGGCATTTGTTATATGCTATGCTAAGGCCTTATCAAGCTAATATAATGCTCAATTATAGATAAGTAGTTCTGTCAACTAGTCAATGCAAACATTCCTTTTGAGAATTTCTCTCAACTACTTCCAAGTAATTATGGACTGTAGTCATTATGACTGCTAATTGAAAGAATTAGGAGTTTTCCCTCCCCAAGAGAGGCAACTGCAATTGATAACTGAGGGGGTGTCTCCTTACTGACGGTAAAGGCAATCCTGAGTTTTAGAATTTATAATGAAAGAGTGCTTGCTCCCTGGCCTTCAGAGTTCCCTGGTGTGTGGTAGTTCTGTGCTCTGCAGTGACAACCAACAGACTACCCCGGCCAGCCTTGCACCTGTCTGTCAGGCCTTACAGCCTGAGGCCCCAGTGACTGTTCATTCAGGAGATCAGATTCAGATGGTATCAGTTAAGTTTGGTAGATGAGCTTGGAAACCCATTGCCCAGTTAGAATTTGAATTAGGAAACTTAACTTTTTGTTTGATTCCAGATGGCACATGCCCACGTTAAAGCACACTATGTCAGTAAAGTAAATGTCATTCCTAACGTGAGCCATACCCAGAATATTCAGCTTAATTTAGGATAGCGGTTCCTAACCCTGACTTCACATTAGAATCGCTTGGAGATCTTCTAAAAAACACCATTGCCCGTCCTCCAGAGGTTAAGATTTGGTTAGTCTTAGTGGAGCTGGTACAGAATGAGGGGATTTTAATGTGTAATCAGAGTTCAGAGCCACTGATTTAGAAGTTTAAGGGCCAGGTTTCTCCCGAATGGGACAGGCAGTCCATTACAATTTGCAGCGCGCCTCAACATAATTTAACATCGACTAGTACAATTACGAAAAATAAAACTTGGCTAAGTCTAGGAGCCTGTTTTTAAATGATTGAAGTGAAGGTTGGAGTTTTCTTTTTTGAAAATTCTTTTGAAGAAGGCAAAAGTATAGGACTAGACTGGAATTACATCGGACTTTATCCAGGAAAGTAGCTCCTTTTTTTTTTTTTTAATAAGGGTCAGAAAACTTTTCCTGTTTGGGCCAGATGATAAATATTTCAGACTTGTGAGCCACATCTCTATAGCTTGTTCTTCCTTGTTTTGCTTTTTTTCAGCCTGCTGAAAATTAAAATTCACTCTTAGCTCAAGTGCTGTCCAAACACAGGGTTCGCTCTGGCCTGTGGGCCATGCTTTTTTGCCAACCCCAAATCTAAGCATTTGTCACTTGTTTTTCCCATGAAACACTTTAGGTGATGAAATTTTCTAACTACTTTTTATTTTTGTTTTGTCTTAGTTAACTCATCTGCTTACACTATATACATGGGAAAGGATAAATATGAAAGTAAGTTTTCAAAAGCATTTGATTTTGAAATTTCCAGAAGGTAAGTGTTAATTGCCTTTTCCCTCTGTGGTTTTTGTTGGATATGAATTTTCAACTTACTACTACTAACTAACCCATTATAAAGAATTCCAAGGGATTAACTTGTCTAAAATTTAGTTATATCAGACAATATTTGAGCTAATTGGACCACTTGTTGCTCATTAGCAGCTTCTATGAAAGTTTTGTGGTATCATTTTATTTAGGTCGATATGAATCAGAGGTTAACCTTTGCCAGCTTAGAGCAAATAAAAATAATCTGTGACTTGGACTCTGAAAAAATCATTTTCTGCACATTTTCACCACATTTAAGATTAGTGGAAACATATATTGGTTTTCTGAGGCTGAGGATGGCTCTTTTAAGTCATGGGATGTTAAGTTTTTTATCTAACTTTGCTGACCATTGTTTTCAGAATGAAACACATTATTTTGTACTGTATACACAATCATATAACTGAAAGGTATACATAGTCATAAAAAGAAAACAAAAATACCCACATTGTTTGCTGTGCCCTGTATTTTCTGTTTTATTTCGTGTTTCAAAAGCTAGCCTCAGCCTGTTAAATTAATTTTTTGACCCACTAATTGAACTAAATTTAAAAATAAAAACACTGTTTGAGGGGGTAACCTTTTTGACTGCAGGAATGAGGAGGGGGTGAAAGTGCAGCTCAGCCTTCTTGACTGAGAGGGCGGAGAGGAGGCAGCACCGACCCTCAGAGTGGGCGCTGCTCGGAGGTGAGGGAGAAAGGAACGGCAGTAGTAAGAGCTCTGGGAGAAAGTGCCGGAATTACTGTTCTTCAAGCTTGGAAAACACAGCTGCTCATCTCACAGGGCAGTGTAACATTTTGGAAGAGACAGCTCCTCAGTCACGCCAGTCTGGATTAAAATTCCAGCTCTTGAGAAAACTAGCTATGCTTACTTAACCTCTTTGAACCTCAGATTTCTTAGATGTAAGAAGAAGATCATGGATGGTATTTACCTTGCAGGGTTATGAAGGTTAATGAAAGAGCCTGGGTAAAGTGCCAGGGCCCTCGTGGGCGCTCAGTAAGTAGTAGTCACCTTCACTGGAGCTGCTTCAGCCGCCATCCCCACCCCCCAACTCTCCGGGGCTGGGCTCTGCCTCAGGGGTCTGAGAGCAGGGTGTGCACTGCGGTCACCCGTTCACTTCCAAGTCTTGCGGGTTTTTTTTCCTTTTTTAAAACCACCAGTGTCTGTTCTAGGTGCAGTTTGAAACTGACAACACTTTAAACTTGATCCTTTAAAAGACACAAGTATAGCATTCTTCAGTATGAGCCATTTGACATTAATGAAATCAGTAAGGCCAAAAATTAAAAGACATCAGGAGCGGTGATGTAATTATATAGTTAGTATATGTATACTTACACTTAAATTGCTATATTTGCATATCATAAATATGCATGTAATACATAGCATATATGATATATAATAATGTGATATGTAATTGTTATGTAACTATAGTTATAATTCAGATCTATATAAACAGTTTAGAACCTTGCTGTAACATGGTTGCTATAAAACAGAATCAGTATAAGCAAGACTCTCATATCCTAGCCAAGAGGAAAAGAAACATAGAATAATGTAACTCATTTATAAACAGTTTTTCCTTTTAATGAATTTATGACATTGATTCTAGGTGTGACTTAACGGAGAAGCGGTTTGCAGTATATCAGTACTTCAGTATATCAGAAGTGACCCATAGTGTGCTATGGGTCACTTCTAGTAACCCATAGATTGTCACAGGTACTGTGTTCTTCTCGTAGTGCCCTGCTGATGACTGCAGCTGAAGAGGGGACGCGACCTTCCCCTGTTACAGTGAACAATAAGGCGCCGCTGTAATAGCCGTAGTTATATCGACAGCAGATACAGATTCAAACCTGACCACATCTGCTTTTCTTTCTGTCACATCAAGTGTGTGAATCCAAGGTTGAGGTTCCTGCGAAGCGCCTCAAGCAGAGCTGCTCTGTGAGCTTGTGCGGGTTTTGCACCGTGCCTCTCGGGGTGTGGGCGGGGACGGGGAGTGGGCTTTATGTATTTCTTATAATGAAGAGCCGCCTTGATTCTGGTTCACACGGACGAGCCACCAGTGGCGCTGACTGAGTGAGGCAGCTGTGCCCGGGACATTCCCACCATGTCTCTTAGTCCTTCCATTTTAGTTCACTGTTTGCTGGCTCAGTGTGTGCCAGCCGCTGTGAGTGTCCGGTGAGGAAGATTGAGTCTTGGGTTTTCATAGTATTCAGGTGGAGCCACGCACTTAAACAGGTATGGGTCAGCCTTGCTGTGAACCTCAAGTTGCCTTAAAAAATAAGGTTTATTTAAAAAGCGTGGGCAAAATACGTTGCTATTAATAGCAAACACTGTGGAAATGGAGGCAGAAAGACAAACCTTGATTAAGGAAAGCTGAGAAGGCTTTGTGGAGGAGTAGATTAGGATGGGCTAGGTTGTGGAATCCTTCATGTTTTTTGTCTGCATATGTAAACCTAGATTCTATCTAGAGTCTACTGGAGTGATGTTTTGTTGTCATTAAAACATATGTAGGACAAATCTATGTATAGAACACTTTTCCCCCCAAGAATTCTGAGTCCTTTGGAAACGTTGACTTCCGTCGCTGCTCTGTGAGAAGGGTGTGGCATTTTTAAAGCACCCTGTCCTCTACTGCTCCTAGCACAGCCCTCTTAACTTCTAATAGCCTGGACGTCTTCAGACTAAGGGCTGCATGGAACACAAATGAATTTCTAATTGAATTACTTTCACTAAAAGCTTAAAGCTTTCTGGTGTGTTCCTTTTATTAGTCAGCAGGTGTCACCAGGGAGCCAAACATTGCCTGAGGAAGAGGTTTCCCTTTTCTCGTTCTGATTGCCTGTTGGCTCTTTGCTCAGCTTCCCACTCAGGGTAGTAGAAAGCCCCTCGGAAACTCACTGTGTCTGCCGCTAAGCGTGCTCTCGTCCGAAGTTGATCATCCTTTTGCTTTTGTGGGAAACAAATACCTCATTAAAGTTAGATAGGTTATACTCTCTGGGGTACATTTGAAATCACATATGTATTATTTTCTTTACAATTTTCAACTTTGTGTCTAATACTTTAAATATACTTCTGTATTAAATGCAATTAGTTACTAATTATTCATATGGCTGTTAGAAGTACAGGATAGGTTTTCAGTTGTGAGTAGGCAAAACAGTTTATTTTTGTATTAATTATTGCATTATTTTCCATTAGAACAACTGTAAACCTACTTTTGCCCCACCCTGAATATATAAATACAAACTTTCTGTGGTGATATATTTTATTGGTCTTAAAAATGTGCATAAATTTTGAATACTCGCTTTTTAGAAATACACCTTAAGGAAATCATCAGGAATATGAACACATTTGTTTAAAAATATTAATTGAAACATTTATAATTGGAAACAACGCCAAGTTAATGTCAACATTAGTGAATTTATCCATATGATAGAATTAAGTTGTCATTATTTGCAAAGAACTTTTTAAAATCTTATTTTATTTTTACCTAACATACATAGTGTAAAAATTCTAATAGTGCCCTGGCCAGGTAGCTCAGTTGCTTAGAGCATTGACCTGATACACCAAGGTTTTGGGTTCTATCCCTGATCAGGGTACATACAAGAATTAATTAATAAATGCATAAATAAGTGGAACAACAAATCAGTGTTTCTCTCTTTCCATTCCACTCTCTCTAAAGTCAATTTTTAAAAATTTAAAAATTCAACAGAATACTTCTAATAAAAAACATCAGTTCCCTACTGCATCCTTTCCAATACTGATGTTCTACTTTTCTATTTTATTTTAGGCCATTTTTAGTTTTCTTTTTTATACTTCTGCTGGTTTTATTCCCTAATTTTCTATGATTTTATAATTCAGTTTTTTTTTAAAGAAGTAAAATGTAATTCATTGGTTTTAAATTTTTAGCAAAACAATTTTAACGTAAATATTATTGCAATGAATCAGTTTTCTAAGACATCATCTAACGTCAGCTGCTCTGACTTGCCAGTTTTACTATCTTTAAATAGAAATATGTTTGAAGTTTATAAGTATTATTATAAAAGATTAAAACACTTATAATTATCCAATTGTAAAAACTTTTTACAGAAGTTTTCAAGTATCAAAGCCTCTCTGAATTACTCTTTTCTTCATTGAGGGAGGGAAAAATGTTGTGTGAAAGATTGATAGTTCCTCCCTTCCCAACTCTCTATAAACTCTGGCATATATTCATTTGACAGGAGGTTTTTTGTTGTTTTTTTTACCTTTTCTTTGTTTTCTTATATCTCCCTGTAGATGAGGATCTAATAAAATATGGCTGGCCTGAAGATATTTGGTAAGTAACAGTTTTGGTTCTGCTTTCAACAGATCGTTGTTTACCTTCTTAGAACTGGCCAACCAACCACCTGACTCCTTTGATTAAACCCAGAATTCGTGCTTTGTATTTTGTTTATGAATGTTCAATGGTAATTAGCTGACTGCCAGCTCCCTTCACTTATAATTACCATCTAAGCTGGAAATGATGTCTTAGGGTTAGATCTTACACCAGAACATATACTTTTATTTTTGCCTCCTGTGTATTTCCTCATAGTATTGGGTTGGCCAAAAAGTTCATTTAGTTTTTTCCTTACAATGGCGCTAGTAGTGCTTAGTTGTTATTAACATTTGAAACAGTTTTGTTAGATTGTATTGTGATAGCTGTCTTATCAGTGTGCATTAAAAAAAACATCAAAATTGGTGAATTTTTGTGCAGTCTTTTTAATGTTGAAGATGGAATAAGATAACGCAACATTTTCAGCATATTATGTTTTATAATTTCAAGAAAGGGGAAAACAACCAAAATGCAAAAAAATATTTGTGCAGTGTATGGAGAAGGTGCTGTAGACTGATCAAACGTGTCGAGTGGTTTGTGAAGTTTCTTGATACTATTGACATTTTGGCCAAATAATTCTTTGCTGTGGGGCTGTCTTAGGCATTGGAAGGTGTTTAGCAGCACCCCTGGGCTGTACCCACCAGAAGCTAATAATAGCAGGAGATAGCTGATGTACTCAAAATATCCGAATCAAAAAAGTTATTGGTAAAAATGAAAAATGTGTCTTTTATTTTATGGAAAAAAACTGAACGGACTTTTTGGCCAACCTAGTAAGTTACCGAGACCGCCGCACTCACACATTCGGACCACTCTTGAGTGGATGCACTCAGGCTTCACAAGAAGCGTTGAAGGAAATAGACACACGCTTCCCGGTAGGTGGATTATTGAGCATCTGACTCGGTCGAGCTCTAAAGAAAACACGGACTGAGTTCCCTTTGTCTTTCTAACTCTTCGTGAGTTTAGCCCTCTCTTGATCCAGTTTCTACCCCCTCTTTCTAAAATAATTTGTGGAAATTTAAATAATACATATTTTCTTAGCCTCTTTCCAAGATAATTGTGCTGCTCTCAAAACTTAGTCCAAAAAACAACAAAATAAATGAACAAAAAAAACCTCTCTTTATTCTAGTTGAATTCCATTCTTCTTCTAACTGCCTTAGGACGCCATATGGGTTTTTCTGCCACTCAGACCCAGGACCTTTCAGTAACGCATGGACTCCTGGTAGTTTGTTTCACTTTCTTGTAACACTCTCAGGCTGTTTGCTTGCTTTTTCTGTCTTCAGCTCCCACCACTCATTCTGTCCTTGTGATTTCTCTCCTGGAGCCTAAATCCACCTTAGAGAGGGATGTGATCTCCACAGCTCCTAACCCCTATCATATGCTCTCCCTGAAGACAAGCTCATGGATCCTGTTGCTTTAATGATGATAATAGTGAACAGTTACTGAGCACTTAACTATATGCCTGCTACTGTCAAGTGTTTACCTCCATTAATACATTTAGTTCACAACAACCTTGTAAAATGGTTGCTGATAGTGTGCCTGTTTTTCAGACGAGAAAACTTAGGCTAAGAGACCCTGAACAGGTCTGCGCCGGGTGTTGCTGGGCCCCCAGCTGCCTGTGGTTCTGAGTCACCACTGCTCCTCTGTCCCTCTAGGGGGCTGCTTTTTTGGGGGCAGGTCATTTCCCTCTTCCCTCAAGCTCTGGCTGTGGCACTGTCTGGCCTTCTTTTCTTCAATTGTGGGCTCCAGTCCTTCACTTAAGTCCGTCCCTACAGAGTTTAGGCTGCCACTTTTTAGAAGAGTTGATTGACTTTCAATGAGGTACACAGCATTGAACATTTAGCAGGAGAAATATGACAGAGACTAAGTGAAGCTCCCCCTAGACTCAGTGTGCGTCCTTTTACTGTCCCCAGCCTTGTCTGCAGGCACTGCCGCCTCTCCTGCTCCAGCCTACCCCACATGGGGGGGCTAACTCACAACCCCAGTGGAAATGCTTTCCTATCTGTCTGCCCTCCCTAAAGTCCACGTACCAGGAACCAAGAGGCACTTAGAAACCTGAGGAATTTTAAAGTTTGTTGTTTTTTTTAATCTGCCCCGGTCCCAGTACAATGGCCCATCATCTGAACTCAAATTCGTTGTTGTGGTAGACAGTGCTTGGTGCCCCTTACCTCAGGGGGGCAGTTTGCACTGCTGAGGGCTTCTGGATTGGGTGCTGCCTGCCGTCCTCGGACCCTGGACTATAAGCTGCATGAGGACAATGATCTGTTTTGTTTACTACTGTATTCTCAGTAGCTAGCGTAGGACCTGACTCCTAGGTGTTCAGTAACTGTTAGCTGACTTTCTAGTTGACTAGCTCTCCACCTGTCTAGAAATGGTCTCCACTGAACATTTCTTCACAATGACTGCATTCTGGTTATCACCCTTTTGAGCACCAGGCACCCCCAGCTGGATTACTTCACTTGTCTTTAAAGCCCAAAGATCTGTAGACTCTGTCAGGGGGGATCAGAATGGCTGCCCTTTCTCATGTAGTTGCCCTTTGTGAATGTTGAACATGTCAGGTTTGAGGCAGAAATATCTGCATAGGAAAGGTTCTGTATTCAGATGCACCATGAAAGCCAATTTACCTGACATTTAAGAAAAGAATAAGTGGAAGGGAAATTTCCAGTTTACGAAGTGCACCCATGTATTATGATTGGGTTTTCCGTTTCGTTAACGTTGGCTGTCTCCTGGAATACTACTTAATCAAACTGGTGTCTACTGATACCCAGACACCCTTTACCCTGTTTGACACTCTTTAATAGTCTTGAGATCAATGACTATTATGGAAAGTGATTGACTTACTTTCAGAAACTATTTGAGTTTTGATGGAAGCTGGAAGAGCGCTGAATTCAAGACATGTTCTGGTGCACTGGTGCATACACTGTGGATCCGAGAAGCAACCCTGGGCGCACTGGGAGGGATGCGGTTGATCTGCATTCCAGCGCAGGTTTTCCTGGTTCACTGCCTCGCTCTGGTGCGTTACCTCTGAATGTCAGCATCTGAGTTTATACCGGGAAACCTCCTGAGGTGCCGTTAAGCAAAGGATTTTTCTAGGATTAAATGAGAATGGAACTAAATTCATCTTTAAACTAAGGAAAACAGAAATAGTGTGTGTTTATTGGCTCCAGATTCCCCAGTGAGTCGTATTTCCAGAGATTCCGCTTGAGGGAGTTAACCCAGGATAGGGGCCCTGCGTCTCCTCGTCCTTCGGTCATTGATTCTTTTATTGAAGCTTGTAGTCTCTGCACTTGGTAAGGTAACAGTGATTGAGCAGGAAGACAAAGAACACAGAAGAGGGAACTATTGGGCATAATTTAAACTTTGAGTAAGCATTTTGGGAGGTTTGGAAAGGTTTTTTTAAGGAAACTTAATCAAAATCATTTATTTACAGAGATGGCCTTTCTGTTTCTTGTACATTTCAACCAAAGACCCACAGTTTTATGCATCCCCCAGGCCTTTAGGTAGAGGTGTACCTACGAGCCTGATATGCTTGTGTATTTTAGTACTTTGAGTACTTATGTATGAATCCATTAGATGCATATTGAATTATTTGTGTATTTCTTTTAGTAAAATTTTATATCAAAGGCCTTTAAGAAAAATCAGAATACAATTGGGCTATTATGGGTGCATAGGAGAGTTGTAAGTAGAGAAGTGGCTCTAAACAAATTGGAATGGGAGAAGTTACTTCTCAGTTGAGCTTGCTTACTAATGGGGTATTTTCCTAAGATCCTGAAAGAGGGTAATGAGATATATAATTTCTAGATTTGCAAAAAAAAAAAAAAAAATTTCTGGGGGGAAGAATGCCAAGCTCAAGATGACAATCTATAGGAATCTCTTACATGGGAACGCAAATGAGTCAGTGAAGCAGTTGGAAAAAAATAAGATTTTATACGCATTTCTGGTTATCAGTAATGGTTAAGAATAAAACCTAGAGTCATCATAGACTGTCATAAATGTGTAATGTGTTTCTATATTCAAAGTGACTAGCCAAGATGCTCATCCTCTTTAAAAGAAGGCATTAGAAACAGCATAATCTTAACTTTTATGAAGAATCACACTGAATGTGACCATTTCACTTCTAAAACATACACCAATGCTAAGAAAATGCCTAGAGAAATATATAAAGGTATGTAATGGTGCCTCCTGGGGTTTCGCCACCCGTTCTTCAGTCTGGAAAGGTAAGGACTAAGGAGGAGAAGACTGAAGTTGACAGAGGCACAGAGTGACGGTCCTGTGCTATCGTTGCTTGATGCTAGGATTCTGGGGCACCTCTGGGTGTTCGGAAGAGAAAGGGAATTTCATTTGGTAAATTGTAAAATATGAAAAACTTCATATCCTAAAATGTTCAGCCAAGTGAAAAAGAAAGTACATTTAAAAAAGGTTTAATGAAATTGGTAGATGATAGAGTCTTAAGGAAAGGTAAATTTCGGACATTGGGGCCAGTGGGCATTCAGAATGTTTTTAGGACAGTGTCATAAAGGGCAGTCACCGTGCTGTCCCAGGAGACGTATGTTAGTGTCGTTGCTGGGTTTAAGGCCGGGTGAAGTGTTGGGCTGAGCCGTTGTGTGATGTGTGCACTGTCTTCATGCCTCACCTGACTCTTCCAGCTCTGCTTGATCTTCTCTTTGTTTTGCCGTCACTTGGAACTCAAGATGTCCCATCTTTTTCCCTAAACCAGTGCCATCTCCCCCTGTAAGGCCTTTCTGTCAGCAGTCCTGCAAGCCTCCCAGGACTGAGGTGTTGGAATCTTGCTGACTACTTTCATCCCCCTCTCTTCTCAACTGACATTCCTCTCCCTGTTCCCTGTTTTTTCTAAGTCCTGTGCTTCAGTCAGGGACCCACCAAGTCTCAGTTGGCCAGTGAAGCCTTTGGTCACTGTTAGGGCCGACTCACTTGAAATAGCACCCGTCCCAGGGCGTGTAACATTTGTTGTCTCTTGCACTCATCTTGACACTTGGCCCCACCCAGCTGCAGGACTTCCCCTGTGCCTCGTCTCTCTCCCAGCAGATAGCGAGCCCCGTGGAGGCCAGGACTGCGTTTCATACTCCCCTTGGGGCCGAGTTAATACTTGCTGGATAGGAACGCTTTAAGTGCAGAGGGCCGGAGGAGATGGTTGTCTTGTACCTCTTGCTAAAAGTGGTTTTCATTCTTTGTAGGTTTCATGTGGACAAAATCTCTTCGGCTCATGTATACCTTCGATTACATAAGGTAACTGGATTTGAACATGGATTCATGACTTTTTCTTTAGTGATGAGCATCATATCTTGTCCTCTGTCCTTTTTTCTGCAATTGAATTGCTTAAAGTAATGTGTACAAAAGTCTGAAATTAGCAAATAAAGAGATGTCTTCCCCTGACCCAGATAATCACTAAGAGGAAGGCTGGTGATTTTTGAGACTCGGACATAGTACATATTTCCCAGGTAGAGGCACTGCCTTGTCCTGTCAGGTCAGGTGTGTTCTCTGTCACCTCTGCTTTCTCTCCCTTTCATTTCAGTTGACACTACTGGACTTACTATCTTCTCCATTGGAGAGCATACACTGGTTCTTTTTTTTCAGGCTCATGCGATTTTCCTGCCTCACCAAGGGCAGATGTTCCCAGTTATCAGGGGCTTTGGGAGGTTTAAAACAGCATTGTAGTAGTGAAGGGAAGAAAATTTAATGCTCCCTAGTAACATAAAACCACCATTTTTCTAATCTGTCTTTCCATCCATATGTTATATTTTATATAGTTGAATCATAGGGTCTATGTGCTTATTATATGTATTGCTTTTTACAGTGTTTTATTTTGAAATGATTTTAGATTTACAGAAAAGTTGCAAAGAGAGTGCAGAACTCCTATACCACACACCCAGTTTCCCTCACGGTTAACATCTTACGTTACTATGGTAGATTTGTCAGAACCTAGAAACCAACATTCGTACATTACTGTCAACTAAACTACAGACTCTATTTTGATTTCATCAGCTTTTCCATTAACTTTCTCTTTCTGCTCCAGGATCCAGTCCAAGGTCCCACATTGCATTTAGTTGTCATGCCTGCCTAGTCTCTGGTCTGTGGCAGTTTCTCACTCTTTCCCTGTTTTTCATGACCTTGACAGTTTGAGAAGTGTTGGTCACGTATGTTGCATTGGGTTTACCGGGTGCTTGTGCCACGCGTAGACTGGTGTTAGGGGCTTGGGGGAAGGATAGCACAGAGGCCCCTCAAGCTGTCACAGAGCTAGGAAGCACGTGTGTGTCTAACCCGTGCGTACGCTCATCTGCCCGGTTGCTTCTGTATCTCTCCCTGTCTGTCCCCACTAAGCTAAACACGGGCTCAGACAAATGTGTCTGACAGATCCATTCCAGCCTTTCCTCCTCACTCATCTGCAAGTTCCTCCTCAGACAGCGAGCAGCCTGGCTCTCCCACCGCCCACCCACCGTCACTTTGCTTCTCTCTTTAACTCCAATATGCGTGCAAGTGGTTTCAGACCTGTTAACCCACATTCCCATACGACATAACTTTATCAACTAATGCACAGTGTTGGTGTGCAGTGTTTTGGGTTTTTTTTTTGCCTTACAGTTTCCAGTCAAAACAGTTTTTCAGAGTTACTTTTAAGTCCCTCCCTGCTCCCTGCCCCAACCTCCTTCAGTGATACTGTGTCATACTTTTGTAATAAGATTAGATTCTTTTGTCTCACTCAATGTTCCATCCTGGCATGCCCTGGTTGATTGCATTACTTTTAAATGGACAGTTTATGAACTTTTTCATGTTACTCTTATTATTATTATTATTATTATTATTATTATATAGATATGTATTTTTTTTTGGCTGACTGCTTTGAGTTGGCAATATGCCACAATAAATGAAAGCTTATATCAAAATTTAGGTTATTTACAGTTTTAAGCATTATGACTCTCCAGCAAGAAATATCTTTTTATGAAGTGCTTTCTGTTTGTTTGTTTGGTTTTCCAAATTATTTTTTATAGTAAGTCTCAAATGGAATTACTGAGTCAAAAGATCTAAACAGTTTGGTAACTCTTTTTATGCCCGATTGCTTTCTGAAAGTATTCTGCTAATTTAAAGTACTATCTAATAATTATAGATTTTCCAAACACTTTGAGGAATTTTATAATTTAAAAAAAAACAACGCAACCTTTTGACCATTTTAGTAAATATATGATGCTTTTTCATTATGGCTATAATATGCATTTCTTAATTTGCTAGCAAGGTTGAACATTGTACTCCATCTTATACTTTTGTTTTTGAGAACTGCACTATCCAGGAAAAGACAAAGATTATGAACTCGGTGCTAGAATACAGTCCTGAATTCTCCTAAGCCACTTCTTGACATTTGGGAACTATTTAAAGTTTAGAAAAAATAGCATAGTGTTACCACCTTTCTTTTTGGTTCACATTAAAGTTTTTCCTTTGGGTTCTGCTGTGTTAGAAAATGGAAATAACGGTGATTGTCCCAAGTTCACCTTACCACCAGTTATTACCATATTTTACCGTGTATAATGTGCACCCACATTTTGGTGCACATTATACATGTGATTATTATACCCATTATGCCCATGGTATATAATCATTATACCCACGTATAAAGCGCATCCTTATTTTTCCTTCAAAAATTTGGACCAAAAAGTGTGCATTATAGACTGCAAAATATGGTGCTTGTTTGAATAGAAGTTTTAATGTTATTTTCTTTTGGAAGCACATGATGTGCTCAATAAAAATATATTCTCTTTAAGGAATTCTTACCTGGTTCATCTCCTGCAATAAACGGCATAGCCCTTTGTGCCTAGTAGGTACCAAGTAAGTGCTGGACATGCAGTAGGACTAAGTGGTTCAGAACCCAGACTCTGGGTTTGAATCCTGGCTCTGCTCCTTGCTAGGTGACTTTGAGTGAATTACTTAACTGGGCCCATTTTGTCATCTGTAAAAGGGAGCTAACAGTACCTATTTTATTGGCTCCTTGTGAGGATTAAAGGAGCTTGCCTATCTCAGGCACTTAGAATCATTATTGCTAAGCATTATATGTGTTAATTCTTTTTTTATTGAATTCAACCCAAACCTTGAAGAGCATAGATGTTCAGCTGAACTCTGTCCTAGGCCTTTGATTTTTAAAAACCCATAGAAACTATCTCACTTATCTAGAGGTTTCTTATCTTTTTAACAGAGATGACACAAAGCCCACAGTTAAAATTCTGACCTTTACATCTTGAGAGTACCTTAGACTCTCTCCACTCTGTGTCTTTACTCTGACTTTGTGCATAATGCTAGGCTGAATGAGGTTTTTTTCCTGTTCATACTATATTAGAAGTTGCAAAACAGGAATTGGAGATTGCTGCAGGAATAGTGACTGCCTCAGGTAGTAAGGAGGGTTATTAGGACACAGCCTGACATCGAGGCCAAGAAACTGTTTTACAAGAACTCCATAAGCACCACACTCTGGGGCGAGTTCTTAGAGCATGGTTCTAGCCCTGGCTTCATCTCTCAGCTCCGTCACTCAGCTGGATATATAGGACCTCAGCCCAGTTGCTCAACCTCACTAGGCTTCACTTTCTTCATTGGTAAAGTGAGGGCAGTACTTGCTATCCATTTCATATGCCTGTTTATGTACTACCTGGCATGTGGTGGGTGCTCAAAAACTGGTAGCGATTGCTTCGTTTTTTAATTATTCATTTTGATTTATTTAGCATAGGTTGATCAGCTCCTGTGTATTGTAGAAGCCCCTGAAGGCATCACTATTACTGTATTATAGTCTAGTATAATGGTTAATATTCATAATGATGACATTGTACTGTCAAGATATTAAATTCAGAATCCTCTATGTGGTCAGCGAATTGCACAGGATGAGGTACACCTTCTTTTTATTTTTTTCAATTTTTAAAAAATGTATTGAGAAAAGGAGAGAGAGACATCTGTTGCTCCACTCATTTATGCATTGATAGGTTGATTTTTGTATGTACCCGGACCAGGGATCAAACCCACAACCGTGGCATATTGGGATGACACTATAACCAACAGAGCTACCTAGCCAGGGTTCCAGATACATCTTTGAAGTAGTGACAAATTTTAATCATGTAGTTTTGGGTCAAAATTTATGTATTTGAGAGATTCCCATTTTAAACATTTAATATAAGCATAAAAAATGTAGAAATATATTGGAATACATTTAACTTATCTAAAATATTTATGTAGGTAGAACATTTCATTCCCAGACAGAAGTGCTTCTGTAATCCCATGCCTAGTAGGAGTCAGTGCTGAGTTGATTTCCATTTGCTCTTGCCTCTGAAATATTTTTGTTCTTCTGGAATGGCTTTGCTTATTCAGCTTTGACTTTGATACAGTGTCTGTAGAGGAAAGAATCAATATTATTCCTCCCTTACTGTGGATGGTTTTATTTAACACACCAAGACCTTGCTTCCTGATTAGGGCTGAGGATAGATGACCCACTAAATGTCTGAGATTCAACACTATGCCTCTTTGAGAGGAAGGTCATAAGGGACCTTGGCTAAGAAGACGTCCAGTTGTCTAGAAACCTTCCCCACAATGTTTCTAGAAGTAAGGAGAAGAAGAGAGAAATTACTCAGACATAATTATAGTTAATATTTTGGTAGTTTTCTTTTATACCCTCTGTTTGTATTTTTCACTTAGGTATCAGTATTTTCCATATTACTGCCTTCTCTTAGTTTAAAATGTTCCTGTAATGGACTTCAGTTTTCAGTGTTCTGAAATATATTTGAAGATCCTCTGCTTATAATAAAGTTGTGCCGGGTAAGACAGCAAAGCCCAGTGAGTGCTCTAGTGTTGATCAGCAATAAAGTGCTGGACCATTTGGTTTACTTTTGTGTTTCAGGGGGAGAAGATAGAAGACATTCCAAAGGAAGTATTGATGGACTGTGCCCATCTTGTGAAGGCCAATAGCATCCAAGGTCAGTTTTCCTAGAAGTGTTTTCAGAATTAACACTGATTTCTCCATGTCTGAAATGGATTGCATTTTAGGGAACATGTTCCTGACTTTGGCTTGAGTCAGAGGACTAACATGTTCTTTAAGATGGCAGTTCTGCCACCTATTAAAGAACTAAAAACTAATCTCCCCACCCCTCTGATGTTTATGGCCCTATCTCAACTCTTTTTTGCCTTGTTTTTCTTATATGGAATAGTAGGTTGTCTATACCTGCCTACCCTTAAGGTTATTTGTAGAGAGACTTTTGGAAATCAAATTATCTTAATAGCTAAGCAAAAAATGTGTCTCATGGCTTTATTTTTAATGTTGTTTCATATCTTCATTTCCATTATTTGTCATTTGATACTAGAACTCAAGTCTCCAAATCACTCTTTCCTGCTTTTTCTTCTTCCTTTCTCCCTAACTTTTTCCTCCCTGTAAACTGGGAAAGTATCAGATCAGTTGATCTTTATCCCCCAGAGAGTCTCCTTTATCTGGTGTGGGGTAGTCGGGAGCTTCAGCTGCTGCCAGTGCTCTCCAGGTGAGTCTAAGCTGCAGAGGGCTTGAGAACAATTGGTGGTAAGTGTTTTAGGAAGGGCCTGTAATACTGGGCTTGGTGCTTGTCTACGGTACGAGACTTAATCTGTCAATAGCAGTGTGCGTGAAGGAGGACAGTTATGGAAGCGGAGGTGGGAGTTGAGAAGGGGAGCCAGGAGATGGTGTTCTGCTAGAACATTTGAGTTAGTAGATTGGGTTTTAGGTATAGGACATAGACCTAGATAGGGTAGAGGTAAGTTTGGCTTGATATGAAGTTGCTGAAAGATCCAGAAGGTTGGAAAGAAATAGGTTTGGGTAGAAGATGAGCATGGGGCAGACACATAGCCAATAGCAGGTACCAGGAGCTGGGGGGTATACCCTCTTCTCTGTCACTTACACTGTGTGTGCTGAGTCTAACTCAAGCAGCTTTAATGTTTCAGGAAAATGGAAGTCTTATATGAAACCACTGACTTTTAACTTCATAAATCATTAAATTGCAGTTAGTTTTACAACATTCCTTTTTTTAAAATTTTCAGTCCTCACCCTTTTGGTGTACGGGACAATGCTCTAACCAACTGAGCCACTTGGCCAGGGCAGGACGTTCCATTTTCATGAATAGAACAGTGTCTTAAGATTTCCAGTTAAGATACTCAGTTATTGACAGTAAAAATGGTGTAAATTAAAACCATCGTTATCTTCTTTCCTTGTGTGTTGCAACCTCTTGAGTCCCTGGCTCGCAGATGTGACTTGATTAAAGGAGCTTCTTGGCCCAGCTTCTTTCTTCTTAGTCTCTTTACAGATGACTAGTTTTATAGAAAACAGGAAAAGAGGAAGGAAGAGTCTTGACACAGAATTACTCTTCTCTCTTCTTCCATCTTTCACAGCCATGGCTCACTTAGCAGGAAGAGGAGCTGGGCCGAAGAGGCTCACTCTTGTGAGGGAATGGCAGATGGTGCTGGGAGTGAAGAACAGTATCTGCCATGAGATTCACTACATACACTCCATTTGTGGCACTGTGTAGTTAAAATATTTTCCTCCATGGTTGACCACCTTCAGCATTCAGAATCAAGGAAATTGGGGTTAAACTTGTTTGTCTTCATAGAATCTGGTGATCCTGTTTTATATTCATCTTATACTCTCTTGCCAGATTAAACTTTCTAAAAGCTTAGACACTTTTCATGACACCCCACCTTGTCTGTACAATTAAGTCCAAACTTCTTAAAGCTGGCATTTTAAGCAACTTTGATCTGACTACAGAACTCTTTTTTTCCCTTCACATATTTCACACACCAGCCAAAGCAAATATTTGCTGTTTTTCTACCTTGTGCTTTTGCTTATACAGTCATGTGTCGCTTAATGATGGGGATATGTTCTGGGAAATGCATCGTTAGGCAATTTTGTCGTTGTACAAACATCATACACTGAATTTACACACACCTAGATGGTACAGCCTACTGCACATGTAGCCTATTGCTCCTGGGCTACAAACCTGTACAGTATGTTAACGTAGTGAATACTGTAGGCAGCTGTAATGCAATTGCAAGTATTGGTGTATCTAAACATAAAAAAGGTACAGGTAAAAAAAATGTGTAAAAGATAAAAAATGGTAAACCTGTATAGGGCACTTACCATGAATGGAGCTTTCAGGACTGGGGTTGCTCTGAGTGAATCATTGGGCGAATGAATGTGAAGGCCACGTGGAGAGGGAAGGCCTGGAATGTTACTGTATACTACTCTGGCTTTTATAAACACTGTGCACTTATGCTGCACTAAGTTCATAAAAAAATATTTTTCTTCAGTGTAACCTTAGCTTACTGTAACTTTTCAGTTTTTTAACTTTTGACTCTTTGTAATAACAGCTCAAAACACACATTGTACAGCTGTACAAAAATATTTGCTTTTTTAATCTTATTCTATAAGCTTTTTTCCATTTTTAATTTATTAAAGAAATTTTTTTTTTTTACTTTTTAAACTTTTTGTTAAAAACGGAGACACTAATACACACATGAGCCAAGGGCTACACAGGTCAGGATCATTAATATCGCTGTCTTCCACCTCCATGTCTTGTCCCATAGGAGGGTCTTCAGGGGCAATAACAGGCACAGAACTGTCATCTCCTATGATATCACTGCCTTCCCCGGGACCGCCTCCTGAAGGACCTGCCTGAGGCTCTTCTTGAGGAGATGCCACTCTTTTCAGAAAAAGATCCATGGTTTTTGCTCTTTTTTGTTTTTGTTGTTTTGTTGGGGTTTTTTTTTTAAGCATAGATTTGCTTATGAGCAGGCAATGCACCATAAATATTCTTCCCTATTAATGAAAACCTTTCTGTGTTGGGGGTCCATATTTTCTAACTTTGTAAGGGTTTTACTGAAGTTTGCAAAAGCTTCTGCTAAACCCTCCTTCACTGTGAATTTTCCTGGAGGTTCTTCTTCATTTTCTTATTCTGAAGCTTCCTGTTCTCTTGCCTCTCCTTCAGCTGTGCTTTGCTGTTCCAGTTCCAACAGCTCCTCATTAGTCAGTTTCTCAGGAACCACCTCTAGGAGCTCCTCAGTGTCACCCTCATCCACGCCCAGGTTGAAGTTGGTTGCCACCTCAACCACAGCCTTGTTGATTTTTGCAACCTCCTCACCCTTGGCAAACTCTTGGAAGTCATGGATGAACCTCTTGAGCATCTCCTTCCTGATGTCATTTATACATCTCTAGGCAATAGAAATTTTTCAGCCCCATTATAATTTCACGGGACAACTGTCATAGGCAGTTCATCATTGACCGAAATGTTACGTGGTACAAGATTGTATCTTTCCCTCTGTTCTCAATTTTGTTCTCCTTGTCAGTCATCACAAGTCCACATCCAGGCTAAGGTTCAAGGTCTACATAATAGTTGTAGTAATAGCTGACATTTAATGTTAATTATATGCCTGGCACTTTGCAAACTATTCCATTTATCAGCCCTACTAAATTAGAGATTATTATTGTCATTTTATAGATGGGGAAGCAGAGCTTAAAGAGAATTAAGGAACTTACCCAAGGTATCAGAGCTCTGACATGCAGGAGAGGCTGCATTGGAAGCCAGACAGTCTGACTTTAAAAGTCTTCTGTCTTACCCACCAAGCTGTATTAACCTCTTGTGGAGCCTTTCCCTTTCTCCAGCTCTGAGTGACCACTTCCCCCTCAGTATCACCTTAGCATTTTACCTGTCCCTTCCCAATATTTGATGAGTTCTAATTTTAACTGCAGTTATTTATGTACTTTTCTGCCCTCCTTTAGTCTTGGAAGGCAGGAGCCCTTGTCTAAAACTCAATTTTGAACAATCTCAAGCCTACAGAAAAGTAACCAGAAGAGCACAGCTCTCATATACTCTCCCGTTAGATTCAACAATTTTTCCATATTTATTTCCTTTCTCTCTGTAACACACTCATGATTAACTTTTTTAGCTGAATCATATAAAAGAAGATTGTAGATCATAACCCATCATTTCTGTCCTGAGAACAAGGACATTTTCTTAAGTAACTGCATTACAGTAATCAATTAAGGAAATTTAATGTGGATCAAATACCTGATGTACAGTCCGTATATGTTTTCTCAGTGTCCCACTACTGTCCCTTTGTAGCATCTTTTATGATCCAGAATCATGTGTTGCATTTACTTGTCATGTCTCTGGTCTCCTTTTATCTGGAGACACTTCTTTGTCTTTCAAGACATCGATACTTTTAGAGTGAAGACCAGTTGTAGACTATCCCACGGTATGGCTTGGCCCGGTACTTCCTACTGAGTAGGGTAACCGTGAATTTTCAGGCAAGAATACTTCATAAGTGAAGTGAGGTGGTGGTCATCAGATTTCGCCCATGTATGTAGTGATTTAATAAACTGTAAAATATATTGTCATCTAACTTTGAAGGGCCTTAAAGGGTGTTGGGCCAGCAATTAAACTGTGATTCCTCAGGCTGCCTGGGAGGCTGTCGGTGGGGAAAGGAAACGGAGGTGGGGGCGGCGAGGGGAGAGGCGGGGCGTCAACAGGGCGCCAGGCGTCCCTTTCATCCGGGGCGTCTCTGCTTTGATTACCGTGGTATGTTTCTTTGGTAAAAGAGGTTCCAGTGGTAAAAGGAAAAAAAAAATTTTTACTAGACTGGTTCAGTTTCCTCGTGTTTCAGATGGGATTCCGAGAGCCACGCAGACCTGCCCAAAGTGGCACAGCTGGTGTGTGGCAGGGCCAGAACACAGTGCAGGTCTCTTGAATCCAGGCCGTGACTTTTTGCTTTGTCTTGCTTCTTAACATTCATTGGATCAAGGACTCCTCTGAGAATCTGAAAAAACCTGTTCTTACACTTTCTCTGTAAAAAAATGCATATTATAAGTTTGCATTCAATTTTAGGGCGTCTCAGAAGTCCCTGAAGTGAACCCATGGACCCCTGCTTCCCACTGTAATACTGTCGCTTGAGCTGTGTTTGTCAGCTTTACCATTTGCCTTTTGTGGGTTTGTTTGGTTTTTTTTTAAGTATTTTGTGGTTTGAAACACTTGATGCCTTGTTCTTTCTAAGCTTCTTGTTGGGTTATGGTCATTTGCCAGTGGGTAAATTTGACACTTTGCTCAGTGCCATCCTGCCCGCACGTTGAATGAAGACAGTCTCTCTCGGCAGGCTGCAAGATGAACAATGTTAATGTGGTGTACACTCCATGGTCCAACCTGAAGAAAACAGCCGACATGGATGTGGGACAGATAGGCTTTCACAGGCAGAAGGACGTAAGTGTTCTGCGCCACTGAGGGAGGCGGGGTCCTGCCATCAAGTGGAGCGTCATCTTTTCTGTCTGACGCCTCTGTTGTTGAGTTCTCAGCATGTGACGTATGTTTTCTAAAGGGAGTTAAACTGGGTTGCTAAGCTTCTGGAAAGCCTCTCTCCCCCATTCTGGGGGATAATCATATAGTAAAGATTCAGTACTTTTTCCCCTCTCTCCCTCAAAGGTAAAAATTGTGACAGTGGAGAAGAAAGTGAATGAGATCTTGAACCGATTAGAAAAGACTAAAACAGAACGGTTCCCAGACCTAGCAGCAGAGAAGGAATGCAGAGACCGTGAGGAGAGGAATGAGAAGAAAGCCCAGATTCAGGAAATGAAGAGGAGAGAAAAGGAAGAGATGAAGAAGAAGAGGGAAATGGACGAACTTAGGTATGTTGGAGCTATGGTATTAGTACTGACTTTGAAGAGGCTTCACTGTGATTTTAATCAGGAATTAGCCTTAAAGAATGATACACGAAAGAAAAAAAAAAAAAGAATGATATGCTGGTAGAGGAAGGGACAAAAAAAGCTCAGAGCTTTAAATGACTTAAAAAGACATTTATATGAATGTGTTCATCAAGTGAATTGCCCTTCTATAGTGGCAGGATAGGAGCGTGTATAAAATAAAATAGCTTATATTATTCTGGAATAACTATCATAGGTAATCTTCAGAGCTTGGTTTGTAAAAATCTTCTGGAAAAGAAATGATGCTATATTAAGTGTTTAATGTTAACTAGCTATGCTATTTTAAAAAAAATCTTAGCTCTAAGGGCCAGTGCTAGTAACTCTGAAAAGTTGTTTTTAAAACCTCTTTTTTACATTTTCAAAGTTTAAAGCAATTAATGTAGTGAGGTCTGCTCCAAAACACTGCATTTTAAAATAATAAATAGTTAAAATACCGTTTGGATTCTGAAATTTTAGTGTATAAGACCATTAGAATACTTGTCTGTATTAGTTCTCTATTGCTATTATAACAAATTACCACAAATTTAGTGGCTTAAAACAACATAGGTCCACTGTTTTATAGTCCTGTATATTAGAAGTTTGATGTGGTTCTCACTGGGCTAAGTCCAAGCATCGGCTGGGCTCTGTTCCTTGCTGCGGCTCTAGGGGACAGTCTGTTTTCTTTTCCAGCCCTTCGAGGCCGCCCACATTTCTTGGCTTTTGACCCCTTCTTCCATCTTCAAAGCCAGCAACATTGCATCTCTCTGGCCTTTCTTCCATAATCATAGCCCCGTCTTTGATCATAGCTTCTTTGCTTTTAAGTTCCAACATGATGACATTGGGTTCACCCAGATAATCCGTAATATCTCCCCATCTAAGATCCTTAATCACATCTGCAAAGTAGTCCCTGTTTCCATATGCGGTAACATTCATGGGGCCCAGAGATTAGCCTGTGGACATCTTTACGTAGGACCATTATTCTGCCTACCACGCTACATCTGTACAGATGTATAGTTCTTTACCCGAAGAGTCCCCTTGTTTTCCTTTGTGAAGGAAGGAAATTGACCCTGTGACGTCTGGTCACAGAATTCCTAGATTTTTTCACAGCTGTCCATAGATATTATGTATGAAGTATACCAAAAAGAAAAAGAAAAAGAGGTATTGGTGTGTTATTACCTTTGGGATTGGTATAGTATCAAAATGAGCTGTCTTGCCATGTTCTGACCCCCGTTTCCTTGGAACCTGGACTGTTAATCATTCCCGTTTTCTAAGCTGTCCGAGACACTTGTAGTTTTTCCATTTGTTTCTTCAGGCAAATTTTTACATCACTCTGGTCCATGTATGTAAAAAGGAACATGTAAGTGGAATAAACTGAAAGTTGGTTTTCTAGTCCATGTTTTCCTACACAGTTTTATCCCTTCTGCTTTATTTTTAATAAATTATCATGGGCCTCAGAAAACCAAAAACAGTTGGTGTGTTTATTTCTGTGAAACATGTGCCACAAAAATGACTTCCACATGCTGCCGAAAGTAGGAGAATGTGAAGCAGGGCTATAACATGAGGAACCGAGGAACCGAGGAACCGATGTGGTGACATATCAAAGGTTTGCTTGGCATGTGTGGAGCCGCTGTTGGCACGCTGTGTTCTGCAGCTTTTGTGAAATTCCAACAACAAATTTAGGTTTCTGATGTTTTATACTGTGTGTTTACATCGCTAGTGCTGGCATCACTTTAATTTCTGGCTTTGACTCTTCCACCTAAGAAATCAAATGCTATATGCCTATAAAATCTCATTCTAAAGTCTTTCACTTGGCTTTTTGACAATGAAAATACCATTGAATTTCACCAACTATTGATTCTTTCATTTGAACCATCTGGTAAGGAATGTCCACTTTAATTGTTACAATTGCTTAAGAAATTGACTTTTGAGTCTCTGGGGATTCTACAGATAAATCAAGAAAATATTCTTATCCCAGGCAATATCCCCAGTGTTTCCATATGATTTCAGTGAAAAAGTACTTAGCCCAGTGTCTAAAAGAGCTACATTCCAACGTCTGTCCAATTCTAAAACTTATTTATACTACTCTGGACGCCATTCCAACTTTTTGAACAAGAATGACAGAAAGCTTTTTATTCTAGTTTCTAGTGGGGGGAAAAATGGATGGAAGTGTCTTGTATAGTCCGGGTTCTTTGAGCTCCAGTCAGGATCATATCCATCAGCCCCTTCGCTCAGAGGTGAACGGAGCAAAGCCCACAGCAGAGAAGGCGCTGCCCTCCTTCTCTGATTAAAGAGCAGTAGCCCTTCGAGCCCCGTCTCGTTCTTGCAAACGAGCACTTCATCCCTGGTCCTCAGTGTGCAGAAATTGCAGTCATGTAAACAGGCCTACATGATGCTCATCCTTTTTTAGGTAGTTTTTAGAAACATTGGAGTTGTTGGAAGGTTAGATAGTAGTATATTAACACCTTCTGTTAATCATTTTATTCATTTAAACAATAATGAAAGTTTTCCTTTCCTTAGACTTCACATTCTCACTTACCTATATTGTTCGTTAGCTCTTTAGCGCACATTTGCCCTGTCAGCCTAAGGGCCAGTGGGACTTCAGTGTAGAGACTCTTTGTACAGGGCTGGGTGTAGGGAAGAAGCCACATACTGTTTTCTTTCCGTGCCTGTTAGGCTGGAAGCCATCCATGGAGTTCAGAGAAAGTAGAAGGAGAGGCTCAACATAGATTTTGAAAGTCTTTGGAGCCTTAGAGGTGATCTTGCCTGGAGAGTTAGAGAAGCAGATCATCTTTCATTCAGCCTACATTTGGTTTTAGAGAGTGCGCATTTGGAGAAGTCCTTTAGGCCAGTACCTTTGAGACCCCCAAAGACACCATCAGGTTTGTTGTTTTGTTTTAGAGTGATTGTTTTATTATTTATTTACTCATATCATAAATTGACAGTCAGCTCAGGATCAAATCACTCCAAGCATGATAAGAATATCACTGATATCACATGAGATGAGTTTTGGTGGTATGTCCAAGGACATGTTTTAATAGTTAAGTAATTATTTTAATGAGTATGAGAAGAAAATAGCACACCATACCTCTGATGTAATGGATGTTATTGCTTAGAGCTAGGCAAAGTGTGAAAAAGGAGTGGGTGTAAAGTCCATGTAAAGAGAAATATTAATACTAGTGCAGGTGATGGGCAGACACAGCACACCAAACTTGCAGAGGATGCCGTCTCTTCCTGACAAGCTAGGGAAGAGTGTCCATGGCCGCCTTCAGTGTGTCACAGGACTGTTGTTCCATCTGAGTAGTTGAATTTGTGGTGTAAACAAAAGTCCAAAGGATTCTTTAGAGAAATTTAAAAATTTTATTCAGACAATGATTTGCAAACCAGGGAATGTAGCCCCTCATATGAACCAAGAAAACACTCCAAAATGGGATGGAGGGAGGGAGGCAGGTGGATAGGGCAAGGTTTTTAAAGGCAGAAGCTATAAGGAGCTAATGATTGAAGAAATGGTTTGCAAGGGGAAACAAGACCACAAACTTACATCATTTGTTTTCCGATCGGTGTGGCCAGCTGGGCTTTGAATGGTTGGCCGACCAGTGGTCAAGCAAGGGCGTTGTGCGATAAGAATAACGGGCAGTGTATGGTCAGGCATTTCTGAACATCTCGTCTCAGCCCAGGCATGTTGAACAAAAAGGTTTTTTTGGTCACACAATTACAGTACAGGGAGTGTTATTTATTGATATGCAAAGAGTATAATTTACCAAACAGGACCGTTAGCACAGGGGCGTTAGCTCGCCCTGCAGGTCGTGTAGGAGCCCAGCACATTGTGATACTAAAGTGCTTATGAGTCCTCAGTGGTTACATCCAGCGGTATAATCCAGGGAGCGCTTACCTGCTCTATGTTAATTTTGTGTTCTCCTAACTGAGCTTTTGTGTAATTGTAGCAAACTTTTATTAACATCAGAATCAAGCCTTGTGGATATTGAAAGAAGAGTCAGGGAAATGCAGTTAATAGAGGATACGTGAGTAACAGAGCAGAAAAGTCAAAGGGCAGGGACTGGCTCCCTGAGACAGGGATGATCCAAGTGGGAGCCTGGGAGGTCAGCATTGCAATCGAAGGCTCAGGCGATTGGAGTCAGGGAAGTACAAGACCCAGGTCAAACGGCAAGTCACACAGGTTCATGTATCATCAGCTTGAACATTGGCATGAACTTGATTTGGGGGCAAAGATTACTTCAGCAAGGAGGTACATGTGTGATAGGTGAAAGCTTATAGTTGATAAAATGACAGAGCAGGAATTCAGACTCAAGTCTGTGCTCCTGAAGTCCATGCTTCTGCTATACCACGCTGCCTGTGAGGCAAGAAGGAACAAGTTGGCAAGGCCAGAGTCAAGGTCATACATAGGGAAATAAAAAGAATAAAAGGTTTTGTTCAGTCCAAAATTTCATGTTGTAAGTGATAAGGAGACACTGTTGGTTTCTTGGGATGTCAGGAAGAAGAAGACTGGTAAGGATGATGAGTTTGGTGGCAACATGTAGCCAGGGGTCACGGTGAGACCATTGATTGAAAGGATGATAGTGTGATGTGGAAATGACTTCTAGTGGTAGCTGCTTTTGATCTCTGACACACTGCTACTGCTGCCTTCTGTAAATAATGCCGGGTACCATAGCTCCTCATTTTAATGATAAGCTCTTTCAAAGAAGCGCTTATATGCATCCTTGTGTCCCCTTATATATGACCAGTGCTTTGCATATGCAGTGAGTGAGTAGTCAGTATATCATGGATGAATAAGGAACAGAGATTAGCTTCCCTGATACAGTGGTTCGTGAGCTACATCGAAACTGCTAGTTAAAGAACGTGGGGGTGGGATGGAAAGAGTGCTCTGAGCAGAGGGAACTGTGTGTGCAAAACCCTGTGTGAGAGGGAGCGAGGCAAAACACAGGACTCAAACAGGCCCCCCATGTCGGGAGCAGCTGGCCTGCAGGGTCACTGGCTCAAGGTGCCAGTCCATGCAGGGCCTCAGTGACCATGTTTGTCCTCATCCTGAGAGTTTTGTGAGGTCATTAAGCAAGGGGTAGCAGCATAAGGTTTGTGTTTTGGAAAGGTTGCTCTACTGACCTGATTGGAAAGGGAACCAGGTGGGCGTGGCTGGGCCGGTTAGGAAGCTGTTGCAGCTGTCCACCTGGAAGGCAGTTGTGGAGGTGGAGAGATGTGAACCAATGACAAGTGATTTTGTACATAAAAGGACAGGATTTGAATGAAGATTGATTGGATTAGAGGGAGACGGGGAAAGGATGACTCCTGGGTTTCTGGTTTGTGAGGTGGAATGGGAAGCTATGCGATTCTTTGAGCTGGGGGGTGGACTGGAAAGACCCCAACCATTCTGGGTAGTGGGGAAGACTGTGAATTAGTGCGGATATACAAATACGAAAATAGCTTTGAGGCATCCAAACAAATGTCAGATAGGCAGTTGGATGAATGGGATGGATGGAGCTCAGAAGAACGTGTGACCTAAAAAAGGGTAAAGTGGGTGTTACTTCATGTAAGTGGGAATTTAGACCCAGTGGTTCTTGAACCTAGGTTGTAGATATCCACAGTGGGGCATCTGAATATATTTTAATCTTCACAGGTGATTTGAAAATGCCACCAGTGTTGAGATTTTCTGTTCTAACCACTTTTTAATCAACATGTCTTTCTCTTTCTGCTCATGCAGCTTATTGATCTTATCTGTTCACTTATTTCTTGCAGATACCACTTACTGTTACTAACATCTCTCTGGATGTCTTCTCCCAGCTTGCTCTCTGTCTCTGTGACAATTCTCCTGCCCTCTGGTCCTCAGTTTTCAGTTTTTATAGTTCATATTTACTTGCATGTCTCACCATTACTTCAAAACTAATATGTCCCAAACCAAGCACATCTTCATCGCAACATTTTCTCATTTCTCTCAGTTGTAGCGTTATTTCAGCCACACTAGAAACCTTGACGTTGTTGTCGATTCCTCTCAGATCTACCCCTTCCGACCAGCACAGCTCTTAAGTTGGGATACTGCAGTTGACTGGAGCATGAGGGCAAGAGTGTGGACTTAGGAGACAGACCTGGGTTCAAAACCTAGCTGCTCCACTTGGAAAACTTCCCTAACTTCCCTCGCTCTGCCTCCTGTGTGTTCAGTGGGTGTGATACAGTGCCTTAGGAGGTGGTTGGGGGGAGTAGCAGTAATTTATGAAACACATAACCCAGGTCCTAGCAAATAAAGGATACTTAGTAAATGATAAATACTGTAATTATTAAGTGATCTTTGCTTTAATCTCCCTTCCTCTCTTTTGTCTGCTACAGATTATTCTTTTTAAAACACTGCTATTACAGGATCTCTCTTTTGTCTCTGTGTATTTCTAATAGAAACTTTTTGCATACCTGTTGCTGAATAGGTCTTATTTCCCCTCCTGATAAATCCTTTGGGGGCTAGGCTTTGTTTTAGTCATCTTTTTCTATTTTCTTCCCATCCCATCCTTCACCCAGGCTCACTTAGCACAGGGTCTTATATACCATGGATATTTAATAAAATACTTTTCAATTCTTACATGTGTCTCCCCTACTCCACCGTGTACTGTGGCTTTTTGCTGATCACATTGTGTCAACTCATGCCAGTTAGACGGACATAATCGGGCCCCACACATCCAGCCAGATTTCCCACTACTTTGCTTTCAGACACCACTTGAGTTGGTTTGAAATGTCATCAGATACCATCTCTTGTCACTTACTGTTCACACTCTTTGTTCATACTGTTCTCTGGATCCATCCCCCTCACTCATCCCCACTTACTGGGCTCAGTTTGGGTTCTACCTCATCTGAGAAGAGTGCCCCAACAACCCTGCCCGTATGGATGCATTTCCTCTTTTGAGTTCCTACATCTACAGTTTGGGCAGTATACTGCAGCGATGAATCAGATCTGCTCTTGGCCATAGAATAATTTCCGCGTTTGAGTAAGGCCACCTTCCACACAGTTACGGAGGTGGTGTGAAATGAGTGTTAGTGAGCGCTTCGTAAACTGTGAAGTACTGTGTACATCTTATTGTTTACAGATATTTATCCTTTTTATATTGCAGTCTTCTGAGGTCACGGATTAATATCATCTTTTTTTTTTTGAAAGACCCTGAGCTGTCCTGGATACATGTAACGTCCACCTAATACTTGCCAGCTGTATAACCTTATTTTAAACTTTTTTCCCCCCCTTTCCAGGAGCTATTCATCACTAATGAAAGTTGAGAATATGTCTTCAAATCAGGTATGCTCAAGTTGTTTGCTCTTATCTTGTGCCTTGAAATAACTCGCTGAGTTACTGACCAGTATTGACTCACATGTTGTATGTGGCTTGATGTGATTTAGCAGCTATGGGACACTCAGGTGGATTCTATTAGGCATAGCCCTTCCTTCCTTGTGGACTTCCTGGTGTTTGTTTTTAAGTAGGTCGCCTGGTGTCGCACGTTGTCTCCTGTGAAGTGTGGGCCTGTTAGAACTCACAGGACTTTCCCAGTCCTCATTTCCCTCTTTCTAGTTGCAGACATGCAAGAGCCTTTATAATGTATTAGTGTTCTGTACTAATGTGACTGTCGATTCTATATTATATTATACTTGAGTGACAACAAAATTACCGCCTTCAATTAAAAAATAAAACAAGTTCTAACCCTAAGATCTTATCTGTAGTCTAAGTGACCACATTGGATGTTTTCATGCTCCTTGGGACCTGAGATAGAGAAATGGCATCTATGATATAGTACCGAAAGGATTTTCTTAGCATTAGCACCTGGCTATTTTAAACAGTTCTTTGCACAAAATTGAAACTGAGTGGATATATTTGCTCTATTAAATGTTTTATAGTATAGTTCACATATATGTGTTTTAGATCTGTGTTTTCCAGTGCACTAGGCGCTGATTACATGTGGCTATTTACATTTAAATTAATTACAATTTAATCTGATTTAAAGATTCAGTTTCTTTGTCATACTAAACCACTTGTGGCTAGGGACTACCATATTAGTGCAGAAATAGAACATTTCCATCATCACAGAAAATACTATTAAACAGCACTGCTTTAATACTTGGAAATAATTAACAGAATTTAAGGTCCCTTAAAGGTCATCTAGTCAAACCCCGTATTTAAATAGTGCATGAATTGGAATTGTTTATAGGATTTTACATCTCTTTCATGTCTATATATTCTTCTAAATTTAATAAGAACAGTATCTTTATTCCTATCTCTGTGAAGAAGTATATTTAATGAGGCTTCTTTATGAGTCAGAGATGTATCTTTATAATTCCTGAAAAAATCCAGAGTAGCAATATGTAATTAAATAGAGCCTTGAGTTTGAGGTTTAGAGACTTAAACTGTCATTAACTAATTGAATAAACCTAGGGAAGTTATTTAACCTCTCTGAAGGGTATTCATCAGCAGTGGAAAGGAGGCAGACTTCCTCATGGGGCTGCTCCAAAATTCAAACACAGGCATGTGTGAAAGTTCTTCTTTGACTTAGTCACTATGAATACAAATGGTCATTATTATTTCTTATTCCTGTCGTCCGTAAGCTATTTTCCCATCAACTATCAGTGTTAAAATATGAGACGTATTTAATCTCTCCTGGAAACTATTAGATTTCTCAAAACTCATAAAGTAGTTTAACAGTTAAACAGCAGTCTTTCACATGCCCCAAGTCTGATGTCTTTGCTGTGGCAGTTGTTGCGTGTTGAAGTTTTCTGTTACTTAGGGGCAACTTTCCAGCAGAAATCTGGCGCCTACGTTATGTTATGATTTTAAGCATTTTCATTCCTATCATTATGGATTTTTAAAGTTTTCATGTTGTTCTAGAATTATGAAGTAAACATACAACATACACACATATGAATATACATATATACACAAACACCATGTGATTATCAGCAGATGTTAAAAGTTCCCAGATTAGGAAATCAGACTTGTAGACCAAAGGGCCACTAACCCTGCTGCTTGTCCTCTCCCTCTGTCGCTTGCTACCTCTGTTCTTGACTCCACGTTTGAATCGGGCTCAGGTTTCAAGGACGTTCTGCACTGGGTCTTGATTCTTTCTTGCAGTGGAAGGAAGGACTCTTAGAGCTTTCTCCCATACTTGAAAGAATAAGCTTTAATTCTCCGTGTAACTATCTTCCATTAAGGAGATGCAGACCTTTTATAACCCAATTTGGCAACATGATCAGTGGATTTTCAGTTAAATGCTGGCATTTATGAAAGATAATTTTTAATTTAGTTTATACCAGTGGGAAAACTATTAGTCTTCCACTCTGAAACTGGCTTTAATTTTGTTTGTGCTCCCCTATTTAGATTAATTCTCTTCAATCTGTAATTTCTTTCTAGTCTTTCTAAATTTGGTACCAGGAACCATAAACAATTACTTTTAACATTTTATTTGCTTATCATGTTATAAGTGGATGCCAGGAAGCCTGTTTTGCTATATTGAAAAACATATTGACTGTTAAAGGGAATCTGAAATATAAAAATTGTCCTAACAAAGTCTTGGATCTCAGATATATATTTAAAAGTTACTATAATCCTAAAATACAGATTCTCAGACACATAAGAAATCTTTGCAAATGTATCTCAGAACATTTATAGGGAGTAATGCACTCATTGTCACCAAAGTAAATTATCTTGGTGAGTTTTCCATTCCCTGTGTTCTGGATCTAAAGCTAATCCTCAGAGAGAGAGGATGACTCAACCCCTCTAGTGCTATTCAGTTTAGGACTCTAGGGCGGTCACAGCGTTAGAGCTGGCCTAGAAGACAAATACTGGTGTGCTGTCTGTACAGTTATTATTGAAGGCATTTTATGTGTGGCCTCAGTTTATTGCACTAATTGAAGAGACTCGCACAGAAAACTACTAAATGAAACTGGAGATTAAGCCATTGTTTTCTACCTGTGTCTCATATTTGCCTGCCCACCTCAAGTAAGAGCTGTTAGGAAGGAGAAAAGCATATATAACTATAAACCTAAGTCTTTTCTCTTTCTCTAACAACTTGGGCATTATGCACTGGGAAAGTGAGAGAAACAGAAACAAGTGACATGTTCAAGTTGTGACATTTTCAATTGTGGGGGACCTCGTCCCGCAAAGTCCCCTGGAGCCACAGATTAAATAAATCTACCTACACATGATCTGCGTGGGGAGAAAAGGCTAGCCAGTCTCTCCGAGGAGAGGGGCCTTGGCCTCCTTTTTCCCTCGGCTTTCACTGAGCTCAGCAGGTAAGGGAGCACACGGCACTCACGCACAGCTCCTCAGTCAGTGCCGCATAGTGTTGGTCGAAGGAGAATAGAGATTGTTCACAGGTGAGAACTGCAAGAACGTAAGGGTCTTCTTAAATCAGCGTGTGTGAGGCAGCATGACGCTAGGCGGTCAGGACAACCTTGTACTTCGAACCTAAACATCCAGTGTACATTAACCCAATTAACTAGGAGACATTATTCTTAGCAAGACAGGCTTCAAAGGAAATAACATATTCTTCTTCAGGCCTGATTTCCCCAGGGGGCCACCTGCGCCTTTATTGGTTCATGCCTGTCGGCCTTCATTCTGGTTTTCCCCTTGAGACTTACAGGTCAGCCCTTGCTCACGCGGGGCTACAGTCCCCGATACGAGGCAGGGCGGTTCCCCACATTTAATCAAAAGTACCAGAACTTACACTATTAGTAAATGTTGGCCTTCAAAGCAGTTTTCTTAGAGTGTGCAGTATCTCCAAAAGGATTTGGGTTCTACTTTTATACTTGTTCTTTAGGACTTGTTTAAAACCACACAATAAAATCAGCCCATTTATACTATATACCATCATGTAAGATTTTTTACCAAAAACTTGGCAAACCAGGTAACTTAGTAACTAGGCTGTGGCTTCCTAATGACTTCCTGCTTTAAAAAAAAAAAAAAAAAAAGCCATCTGTGACATCACTAATATGTGACAACTTCTGAAGCTCAAAATAGGGTAATTTAGGACCAAGATGTTGTTGCATATCCGCAGCAGGGTTGGCAGAAGGTGTCACACGGTGCGTTTGTTGAAGGAGCAATCGCATTTTCTCGTTGCACCTGCATTCGGTCGCTTGGGCCTTACTGCACAGCTTGGATATCCCTGGTCTCCTGCTGTGTAATTCAGGCCATGCAATGACACCTTAGGGAACATAGCTGCTAACTGCCTCTTCTAAACAGCTAACAATTTAAGATAGAAAAGTGATGAGTAAATTTAATTATTTTACTATTTTTTTTCTGAACTTGACAGTTAGGCATAAGGAGGCTTGTTACTTAAGACTTAATTATAAATTTTACAAATTCAGTTATTTATTCTGAAGGCTCTTATGGTTTCACCTTTTTGTTTCCTACAGGATGGCAACGATTCAGATGAATTCATGTGAATGAAGAAAAGGATCTTTTAAAGATGTGAATTTAGGGACATTTTGATTTCATTTGTGTTCTGGGTTATAAAAAAACAACCAACCGAAACTCTATCTTCAGTCTACACAAATATCAACGTGGGAGTTTTTAAAAAAAATTCTTCCCTTTTTTGCTGATATATATGTATATATCAGATACAGTTGGACTTGAAGATAGCATATAACTTTAGGAAAGTGAAAATATGTGCACCTGAACATGTCTTGGTGGCTCACAAAAGTTGGCTGCCCTTGTTCTTGGGATAGGCTTTAGAGCAAACCAACTCTGAAAAGTATTTCTGGTATGTGGTCTGTCTCTGAAAACAGATGTCTTGAAAAGCTTTTTATATTCTTAAAATAGCTTCACTTCCGTTAAGAAGAATATAGTGGTGAGCAATATATGGGAATGTTCCTTTCACCCTTGACTTCCTGATTAGAAAAAGAAGCATATGGGTTTGAAGATGATAACAATATATTCAAAGGTTGCTGGCTTCATTGTCTACGTTCCCTTGTGTCGTCTGACTCGATTAGCAGAGCTGTCCTTGCCTCTCAGCTTTCCCTAGCATCTACATTCTGCATCCTTATTCTCCCTGAGTGAGGGCCTCCACCTAAGTACCATCAGACTTAAAGAAGTAGTTGGTATTAATCAAGGTTGGGACTTCTGGCAGTTTTTACCTGAGCACCAAGTGACTCGGGCCACATGGATTACAACCTCCCGGCCCTGGAGTCGTTTCTCAGCACTGAGGGGACACATAGGAAGGAATGCTCTGTGAATCATTGTGAAGATGTAGGTTACCTGATTTTTGTCTTGGAATACAGCATGAAGCAGAAGTCCGTGTTGTAATTATGATTTTAAGAAGATCAAGCATTTCATCAGCCAGCCAAGTAATTTGCGTATTTACCTTGAAATAATATTTATTTTGAGTTGTAACACCAGTTAAAATTTGTCAATTGCAGGCTCAGTAACTTAATATGTAATAGTACTGCTCATTCAAACTACCTGCTCTCCAGTGTGATTCTGAACGGAAGATACATTTTTATTAAAACTGTAAGGCAACCGCTGTAGAAAGAAACAAAGCAACACAATTAAAGGGAAAGAGAACAAAGCCTGCAGGTCAGGAGGCATATAGATTCACATTTTAACCACACCCAGAACTGTGTATGCATCATTCTTATTCTTGCTCTAACCCAGCAACAATGACCTCCAACAAATTTTCTATCTATAATAGCACTTTGGAACTGTGGCTAAAACCAAAATACTACCGTGTTTCTTTTTACTCCAAGTTGGTGTGTGGGGTTGAACTGGAAATTTTCCCTGAGACATAACTCAGCCAAATTTTGAGACAGAGTATTGTAGACATCTCCAGAAATTAATAGAGAGAGAGAGAGAGAGAGAGAGAGAGTGTGTGTGTGTGTGTGTGTGTGTGTAATGATATTCAGCCTGGAGTTCTGTGATTTAAAAATATAATAAAGAATTTTTTTTTTTATTTGGAAGGACATTGATAGATGAATTCTTTTAATTTCCTTTTTATCCCTATACTCAGGCTGCTTTGGGGGGGGGCTCTGGCTGTAGAAACAAACAAACAAACAAAAACCCCATCACCTGGTAAGTTCAATCTGGCCAGTTCGATGGAGGTTCCCTCTCTCCCGCTGATAAGTGCATCTCTCCCCAGCGCCCGCCTGGGCTGAAGCGGGCAACCGCAGTGGCTGTGCTCTCCTGCCTGGTGACTGGAACCACTTCTTCAACACTCTGCTGCCAGCATCCAAAATGGGGAGATTTTCCCCTCCAGCAGCCCCTCCGTCACCTCCGCTTTCTGCTCCTCCTGAAGGACTCCTCTGTACCCCACATCACAACATAGGCGCACAGAGGTTTGGAGGACTACATCTGTTTTTACTGTAGTGTACGAGATCCAAGAGTCCAAATTTTAAAAGTGTTGCGATTCAGCTTTCGCTGGTTTAAAGTGTCACAGCCTCTCTTCTGGAGTCTCCAAGTTGCAGTCCAAGCTCTCAAACCGTGCCAGCCGTCCTGGGCTGCTTTCCTCCAGCCTCTGCCTGTGTCTTGGGAAGTCTTCTCCCACAGCTCTCTTGGGCCCAGAGAAAGCAAGGATCTTTTCTTTTGAGAACATTGATTTTGGTGCCAATAGGTCAGGCTGTTGGCACTGAAGTCATCTCATTTCTTGCTGTTGGCATGTTTCCTAAACTTCCTATAGGAAAATTCCAAATTAATGGCACTTTTATGAGCTGTGCCCTTGATCAAATTTGTGCATCCTGAGGATTTCTTTCCAATTCTGTCGTCGGTTTTCCCTACTCGGCTTGATCTGCACGCAGGTGAGGTTCATGATGGCATTTAGTTTCCTTCACAAACTACTCTGTTATACTTCTAGAGCTTTAGAATTTGTTTCTTGTCCACCGTTGTGGATATAGGGTCACAGTCTCTGGGCAAGAGAGCTTTGCCACGGTGCTGGGGAAGCTCGCCAGCATACAGGTTTGTACGATAGCAGGCAGCCATAGGCTGTGGCTGCACCCTTTCAATATCCTTTATTACATTGTTCTTAACTTTAGTGAAGCATGGGTTTTGGTGAGCCTTATTAATGCCAACGGTTTCCCCTCCCAGGAGGGGAGGGGCACATGTACCACAAGGTTAAAGAGGGGCATTTCAGCTCTGGCCTCCACTTTAAGCACAAAGCACTTCCTTCCACTTCCGCATCTGTCTGAGGAGGGCACGCTCTTGTCTCCCAGGCTGGAACAGGTTATGGGGAAAACGGAGCATGATGGAGCAATGGAACACTCTCCCAGTCCTTCCTGAGCTGTGATCTTGGAAACTGCTCTCCTGTCAGTTTGATTTGAAGTATGGCATCGTGTATGACATATACCGTTCTCAGACTGATCGTAGTAGAATGAGTGGATGACGTTTTGATTTTAAAGTAGGCTGTAAAACAATCAAACTGTAATTAAAAATGTAAAATTAGAAACTTAAAATCCAACCTAAGTGTCAGTCTCGACCCATCTAACTCCAGCAAGTCTGTGACAGCTCAGACGTGAGGACAGCTCTGCTGGTGCCCGACATGCTCACGTTCAAGTCACGCTGAGAGTCTGCTGGGCACACGAGGGTCTAGCGCAAAGGCAAGAGGCTTTATGTGCACTGTATCATTTCACAAATGAGATGATGTCAAGTGTGTATGCATCATGTTCTGGATGAATGATAAGTAAAATATAATAAAGTTTATAGTTTGAGTAGAACCAAGCGTGTGTTTGTGTGATTTCACTTTTCACCTTTCTCCTCCAAGACTCAAGTCTCAAGAATGTGCAAGGGGGGAGAAGGAGGTCCCTGGCTACCTGAGGTGCTGCCTTCAAACTGACTTTTTGCTCCTTAACAGGACGAGGAAGAGCAAATCTGAGCAAAAGGAAGGTGGCCCAAGGATTCCAGGAAGAGAATGTAGAACCCGGACCTCAAGGACCATGATGTTTGAGCTCTAGTGTTTGAAGTTTACAGCTTGATTCCCCCACTGCACCCCCAGGTTCCTAGGACCCTGCCTGAGATCTCGACCAGGCGAGGCTGCCAACGTGAAGACGCGTTGGAATGGTGTCACTGATGAAGGCAGTGGCTCCGGACCCATGTTCTGGTTATAAATTCGCCGCCTCTGTGGCAGTGCCTGGTGCTAATGTCACTCCTCAGTATGTCCGCAGAGAGGTCCCGGGGCAGAGGGAGCCACGGAAGCATTCAAGCTTCCCTCCCAGCTGTAAAAGCATATTTGAATATTAGTGGGCATTTCTCGCTAGTCAGAGTAATGCCTGCATCCTTTTGTTTTTAACAGCCTTGGCTACTAAAAGTCTTGGGTTTAAGTTTTGGAGTAGATTAGTTTATATGGGGAATGTAGGTTGAAACCAGAATTTCTGTATAGAAAAATGCAGAGATCCATGCATATACTTAGTGGACTTGGGAGAATACTGAAAATACAAATACCTGTCAAATGCCACGTATGAACTATGGTTTATCATTAGGAAGTATATGCCTCTGGGTTTTTCTCTCACCTTGATTGCTTCATGTTGTCTTTCTGATTCCATGGCTCTGTCGATTATTGGAGGACCTCTGAGCTCCCTACCTTAGGGTGGGACCGCAGTTCTGCACCGTAGCCAGATGGAACGAGAACCACGTCTCCGCCGCTGGCAGGCACCGACTGGTGCTGACGGGGCATTTTCTGCCTTTGTTGACGGCCAGGAAAGGAGGCCAGGGGAAACGAGGGCTCCCCCGAGAAGCCCGTGTCACTTTTGCTGGTTTCCAGGCCTGGTGAGTGGGTGTCAGTACTTAAAGCCGAAAAAAAAAGGAGGAATTCTCCCGAGTCAGTATTATTTTTCATTCCCACATCAACCCCATCCTGCAACCACTGCAGTAAAAATATAAGCCTAATGGCCTGACATTTCACATCCTGCCCAGATGAGGCCTTCGCTGCCTGCGTCCTTGCTGGTATTTTGCTTTCTGCCTCAGCAGTTTGCCTTGCATAGAGAAGACTAACATTTGCTTATCGCTTCTGGGACATGCTTTTGAGAACAGGCTATTTCAGGTGTTACAGACTGGTCTGTCGGTCTTGAACCTTTTTAGCTCTTTGGTCAAATTCCGGGTCAACAGGTCAAAATTACAGACGGAAAAAGATAAAGAGAAATATTAGAGGCAGTGCCCATTTATCCAGCTCAGCCCTGCCAGGATTGTCTTCATCTGTGAAGCCCTTAGCTTCGTTACCTCCCTGCAAAACCCCGAAATGCTTATTTTATGGTTAATGTACTCAGCATCAATGAGGTTTACATAACTTTTCAAAACTAGAATTGCTTTAAGAATCTCTTGAAAGGGGTAGAAGGTCTGAATAGACAGGTTCAGTTTGGTTACACGAAAAGCTTTACTGGTGCCTATGGTTTCATTTTTTCAACAAGAAAGGAGAAGGGGGTCCATATTCCTGCCCCAAAGAGGAGCCCCGCCGCTTGATCTGGTCCCTCCTTGCTATGGTGGGAAGTGTTATGCTGCCGTGTTTGAAACCAGTTGTTGACTGGGGCTTTGTAACAGTAAACCCTTGGTGAGCAGAACAATTCATGGATTACCTGGACTACTTTTCTCCCTCACTTCTATCCAGACAACTGCTCACGTATCAGGGAGTAAAGACGGTAGAGGAAACGCAAACCTTCCCTTGCGTCAGCAAGCCCGCTCCTCCCTCCGTGCAGCGCTGAGCTCCTCCGGGGGAGGGCTCCCCAGGATCTGAGCTGGGAAGAATGTTTGAAATGTGTTCTTTAAAAAGAGCATAGGACACAGATTTCCAAGGAAGCGGAACTGTTCTGTTTGAGGCTGTAATGGTAGGTATGTGTCATTAAACATGTCCAAACTCACAAAATATCCAAAACAAGTGGCCCTAATGTAAACTGGATGCTGCATAATTATGATGTGTCAATGTAGGATCATAAGTTGTAACCAACATGCCACTCTGGTGGGCAATTTGATAATGGAAGGGCTGTGTGTATGTATGTAGGAGGTAAACGGTAAATATCTGTACTTCGCTCAATTTTTCAGTGAACCTAAAACTGCTCTACAAAATGAAGTCTATTTAAAAGAAGAAAAGGGTATGTAGGGCGATCAGTGTTTCCAGTTTCCCTTTTTGGAGGCAACCAGTGTTACCAATTTTTTGTTTTTGTTTTTTAAATTAAAGACACTGGTTCTAGATCTCTGCTCAATGAACTTGGGCTCCTGCCTGCCTTATGGCCTGGGCGTACCAGTGGCTCAGCTGCGGAATGAGGGCAGAGGAACGCCTCTCTGCCTTTTTATCCTGGGGCATTTAACCTAAGAGAGAATGTCCAGCCACTTCCCAGACATCACCCCTGGCTGCTGGGGCTTGGGGCAGGCAATGAGTTCAGACACAGAGGGACACGAGGCTCAGGAGTGCCTTGGTGTCCCACCCACTAACAGCCTCTGCTCCTAAACCAAGTTACAGAGCAGGCTGTGAATAAGCTCCTGTGTTCCCATTAAAATCTGAGCCCAGTGGAGAATGAACCACAGACAGGAAGAATGCCACTTGCTTTCATCTCAGTTTGTGCTTCAGGGTGGGGAGGGAGGACGTGGGAACAGGACTGGCCTCAGGCAACTGAAGATGTCTGCGCCCCAACTCCAGTTCCCTCTCCCACCCCCAGCCTGCCGCCCCAGCTACCCAGTGTCCTAGTGCCTCCTCCTGCCGGGTCAGAAGGATGGGAGAAAAGGTCTAGTCGGGGTGAGGATGTGCACACTGTAATGAAGTGAAGGAAGCCATACACCTTTTCCACCCCCCATCCCCGATTTTACCTTTAGAAGTGTGGGTTTTAGAATACAACTCACCTCCTTTTGTATGCTTCTTAGACAAGTCAGTTGCCCCCCGGGCCTCCTTGTGCTCACTGGAAAATGTGGACTAGGGCTGGGCAAGGATTATAAATTCCAGGGCTATTGGGGTCAAGCAGGTGACGGAAAAGAGGGTCCAGGAGGCGGGGTGAGCAAGGGCACGCATGCACCGTGTGTGAGCACCCAGCCCTGCTACGAAGGATGGCTGCCCCTCTGCTCTGGCTGAGGAGAGCCGTTGGGGTATGGAGTTTATAAGAGGAACCAATGAATAACTGATTCATTGAAGGGGCTGAAATTGATAGGGCAAGAGAAAAAGGAAATGGCTTTTTTCTCCCACTTTCTTCAATAATGCTCTGATTTCTCTTCCCCACCCTTTGATGACATCGTGGGTGAATAGACCAGATTCTGTGATGTTCTGATCCCTTCTCAATACAAGAACGGTTCCATTCTTAAAATCACAGCTTCCTTTTATGTTAAAAGCCTCAGTCTCATTTAAATCAAATTTGTAATCACAAATATAATTCAATGCAGCAGCTCACCTTCTAGTTCAGTTCTGATTCTTCATCCTGCCTCTTCTAACTCAACCCCCACGCTTCCCTCTACTCCAGCAACTGGCTTCTCCTGAAGCGGGGCAGAGGCTAGAAAGGTAGGTTTCAGGAAGGTTACCGCTTAATTCTCCACAGGGGCTAAGGGGAAGGGTCTTTGGTGACAGGCACTATTGTCATCTGGTTATGGATGTGTCTTGCAGTTAGGATGTGGAGGTACTCAATTACTTACTGCTCTCAGCTTTGAGACTTGTGACTATCCAGTAGCAAATGACATTACAAATCTGATTTTAAAGTCGAATTTCCCAATTTATATGTTACCTCAAAATTATTCAACATTGCTGGGCCAAACCAGGCCTGCCTATGGGCTGGGTGTTGCCGTGAGCTCAATGTTTGAGGGCTCTCAGTTGGAGCGGGTGCCAAGGTCTCGGGCAGTCCCCGTCATCCGTGGATTTATGACTCTCCTAGATTTAGCAGAAACCACCGGAAGTCATCCATGCTTTACCCCTTTAGGCAGCTGCCACCCCACCCACACACACACACTCGGGAATTCTGGATGGCAGCAGCTACCTAGAAATGTATTATCCTGAGTGCCTACCACCAGTGTCCTGGAGAAACAAGGGACGAAGGGAAGGGCCAGCAGGTGGCAGGAGAGAATAGCCTCAGCTTCCTTGTCCTTGTGAGTCCATATTGTGTTCTTGCAGTTGGACAGAAGGTTGAACACAGGACCTAGGTCCCCTCTGGTACTAAAAACCTTAAAGCACATGTGGAAAAGCTATACTTCTAGGGGTAGGACATGAGTTTCAAAGCCCTTTGCCACTGAAATCTCAGAATTATGAGGTAAGCAATGCCTAAACCCTCTAAACCAACACCATGTGATGATTTTAAAAGAAAATGGCTATCAAAATAGAATGCTTATATTTAAAAACAAATGTCTTTTGTTCCAGCATCAGCTTCTTGCTTTACTTTGCAGGCATAAGGCACAGGTTTTGTGGAATCATAGCCTGGGGAGGTTGGGAGGGAGTGGAAAGGTCATCTAAGCCAAGCGGACACTCTGTGCCCTTTTCCACATCCTGAGACAGAATCCCTCCAGTCTCGGCACGGATGCTTCCAGAGATGGGAAACTCATTACTTTGTACGGCCATTTGGCTGTTCGAAAGCAATGTTACTGAGCCAGAGTCAGCCCCACAGCGACTTCTAACCACTCTTCTGTCTCCTGGAGCCACACGGGGCAAGTTGAATTCTTCCATCTAACAGCCTTGAGAGGCTTGAAGGCCACAGTCAGTCGCCAGCGGGGACTGCTTCTAAAGGCCCATTGGCAGGAAAAGCCGGCATC